ATCCCAAACTTTTCCTCTGATCTCCAAACGCATGCTGTGGCACACACACACACATGCATGTCCCTGCACTTACATGTACTCACCATACATACAAACACACAAAACAACAAAGTTGTTTTATTATTTTATTTATTTTTATTTTATGTATATAAGCCTGCATGTTTTTAAGTACACCTGTGTCATGCAGTGCCCACAGAGGACAGAAGAGGGCATCAGATCCCCTAGAAGTAGAGTTACGGATGGTCGGTAGCTGCCATATGGGTGCTGAGATTCAAACCCGGGTTTTCTGCTCTTAGCCTCTGAGCCATCTCTCCAGCCCCAGGACCTGACTTTTTATTCTGCTCTAGATATCCAAGATTGAATGATTAACTGTCTTCTGGTATGTTGTGGTTATATCATTCTTTGAGCATGCCTTTACTTTATGATGAAAAAGGGTATCTGTGCTTTCTCTGGCCCAGCCCTGGAGTCTGCCCATTTCTCCTGGAACAACTGGTTCTTTTTAGTGGAAAATGACATAAGTTCAAAGTCTAGGTGCTCAGAATGGTTCCTTGCTATTAGGTTGTTAGTAGCTCCCAAGGATCATGTTAATGGGTGTATATGTATGCTTAGATAAGTCTGTGTGCAGACATACATCTACATTTAGTTTCCTGCATTCGCTTGTAATGAAAACTGAATTCACATTAAACCTTTTATTTCCAAACCAGTATTAGAGAGAAAGAAGTTCCTTTTAGTCCTCCCTTTTCATACCAACTTCTTTTTCTAGTAGAAATCTAGCTCCCATTATCTTCAGTATATTTGATCAACCCACAGTCACTTTTACCACCTGTCCCCCCAACCCCCCAACGTTCTCTGGACCCTACTTTGGACCCATCAGCGTGTACCAGATCACCATCCTTTAGAGTACCCTCATTCTTGTGACAGGCTGTGGCTGGCATCCCTACCACATGAGCACCCTGTTCAGGCTCTAGTCCTGCAAAAAGCCATCACTACCCTCTCAGCATACAATGTCCAGTTTCTGACATCCAATGCCAGGTTGTAGTGCACTCCTGTTCCTTCTACATAGATGGACTTGGGCTGCTCAGAAACCTTCCTATAAGGGTATCTATCCTAGGTACCTGCTTACGAGACATCCTTCTTACCCTGCTCAGATTCTTGAGATCCTGTGCCTAGCAACCACATTCACAAAAATATAGACCCCTGTCTTGCTTAGTCTTTATTAGTCTCATACATTTTGGTATAAAAATAAAAATCAGATTTAGCAATATTTATGAAGATGTAAAATATGTACACTCTTTGGAAATGAGAAAATTACTAGACTAATGAATAAAGATGTCTATAATAAGAATGTTCATCCTAATATTGTTTGATATTTGAGACAGGGTCTCACTGTAAGTCCTGACTGATCTAGAACTTGCTATGTAGACCTTGCTGGCCTCTGACTTGGATCTCCGCCTGCCTCTGCCCCCCAAGTGCTGGGATTAACAGTGTGTGCCATCATGTTTTGCACTATTTATTTTTTTAAGTTTTATCAATAGAGAACCTTTTTAAAGGCAACTTACAACTTTTTAGGAAAATTTAGACTGAACCATACTCACATCCTAAAATTGGTGTTACATAACTGGTAGAGAAAGATACTAGTTAGGGTAGGAATGGTTACAAGACAAAATGAATATTTGTAAAGTCTCTTAGGGGAAGTGTTCAGAGATAAAAAGAGCTTGGACTTTGGAGTCTGCATTCCAGTTGTGGTTCTGTAACCTATTTTTTCTTTATCATTTCTTTATTTTAAAATGGGAATAATGGTAGTCACCACTTAAGAGTTGTAAGAATTAGTTTGGTACAAATAAAGCTCTCAAAATTGTATCTAGAGAGGGGCTAGCAGTATGACTCAGTGGTAAAGCACTTGTCTTGCACATGCCCTGAGTTCAATCCCCAGTATAGCTAAAAAGGAAGAAGAAAAAAAAAAAAGTCTGGTTAATAGTAAATATTCAACATTAACTTGATACCATGGAGGAAATTGCAATATCTGATGTTTATTAAGTGCTTAAGGTATGTCATTATACACCAGCACCATCTCATTGATTCTCCCTGTGATCTCAATAGATAGAATTAAAATTGCTCTACAGAAAAGGAAACAGTCTTAGAAAGGCTAAGGAACTTGTCCAAGATACTTGAACTCAGCTAGGTTGGTACTTGAACTCCTAACCATAAACTTCTTCCCAGACAAGAATGAAAGTAGTAAGTATCTGTGGGTTGTACAGGTGGCTTTATATCTACTGTGTACTCATTTTTCTATTGCCCGAGTCTTTTATAACAAGCACAAACTACCTTAATAATCAGGAGTATTACAAAATCTTTTTAAACAAGGAGCTTCCTTTGAATTTTCTCTCACCATAGGCTAAATCCTGACTCCTTAGTTTAGCTGACACTGTTGTTTGATTTGTTACTTCATCCTATCCTAACACTTCCACTACTCTGCAACCTGTACTTTTGGCTCCAGCCAAACCATACTACATGGCTTGGCCCCAGAGTTTTCCTTTAAATGAAACCATTCCCAAAATGCTTAACTCCCAGGACAGATAACCTCTTTGCTTCCGTGCATTTATAATAGCACTGACCCATACTGTGTTAGAATTACCATATTTTTTCCCTAGTGGGATAGAATTCTTGAGATAATAAATTGTATTTTAATCATCCTATTTTTGACACATAACCAAGCACAATTCACATAATGTACCAATGTTTTGAAAATACTCCACTCATAACATCATACCACAAGTGGTTGTTTTAGACCTTTTAGACCTTATTTTCAGTTAATTAGAACATGCCTTATATTTCTATGTATGTTAAAATAACCATAAACTAGAATAATAATTCACCCAATTCTTGAACATTATGGTTTGCTATATCCTGATTTGTCTTTGCAGAAAGCTTGTTTATCTACCCTTTTGCTTGCTGCAAATTGTGAAGTAACCCATGGCCAGCTGTGTGAGTTGCTGAAGTACGCAGTTCTGGGCAAATCCAGTATTCCTAAACCAAGGTATGAGATAAACTGTGTGTATAGACCAGGGGTTTCAAACTGGTATCTAGAGGTCCCTATAGAGTTTCCTGGTGTTATTTGTTGGTCATGCAGTGTATTCTGTTATTTGTAAGTGCAAACTGCCAATGATTATTTGGAAATTTCTGTATCTTAAAAAAGAGATCTGGATTTGTGACTATATCTGTGACTTTAAAAACCTCAAAGATTGGGGCTGGAGAGATGGCTCGGCGGCTAAGAGCACTGAGTGCTCTTGCAGAAGACGTAGGTTCAATTCCCAGCACCCACATGGTGGCTAAGAACTGTCTTTAACTGCAGTTCCAGGGGAATCTGATGCCCTCTTCTGACTCCCACGGCATTGCATGACATGGGTGCACTCACATACATGTAGGCAATACACTTGTACACATAAAATAAAAATAATAAAATACTGAAAAAAAAAACAAACCCTCAAAAGATCTATCTGACTGTCTATATTCACACCAGGCAACACATTTGTCGAAGCTGAGTGGTAGTCTTTAGAGTGTATTCCAGTGTCCCATCTGCTGCCCTTCCTTTATTCATAGTATTTGTTTGGCTACTGCAGATTCTATAGTTTGTTAACCCTGATGTAGACTCTAGTAGAAATAATGTAATGTGGGGCTGGAGAGATGGCTCAGTGGTTAAGATCACTGACTGCTCTTGCGGAGGACCCAACAGGGTTCGATTCCCAGCACCCACATGGCAGCTACGAACCATCCTTAACTCCAATTCCAGGGGAATCTGAAGCCCTCTTCTGACCTCCATGGCACTGCATGACATGGGTGCACTCACATACATGCAGGCAATACACTCATACACATAAAATAAAAGTAACAAAATACATTTTTTAAAAAAGAAATAACGTAATGTTATATTAGCAATGCTGGTTAGTCTTTTACTTCTTCTATAGACAATCTTACTATTCTAATATTGTCAGTGACTGTTGAATGTCTTTATGAAAATTGTGTTTGTTATACTCATAAAGAGATTTTTAAGTATGTACATTTCTGAGGGAGGTCATGAATTATCTAGATGCCTCAAAATCATCTTCTTTGTCAGTGAATACTGCTATAAATCTGTTTATCTGGAATTAAGTTTCTTGAATCCAGCCAGCATATGAAGTGCTGGTTTAGACTGGGCGTGGTCTTGCTTATGCCTTTAATCCCAGCAGAGGCAGCTGAGACTACACAGTAAGACCCTGTGTCCAAAATAAGAAAAAGAAAATGAACTACTGGCATAGCAAGTGTCAGAAGTGAGCTTACCTGACCTAAGATGTGTTTGATGGGGGTTGGAGAGATGGCTCAGTGGTTAAGAGCGTCTTATGGAGAACCCAGATTTGGTTCCCAGCACCCACATGGTGGCTAACAACTGTTGTAACTCCAGTTCCGGGGGATCTGATCCCTTCTTTTGACCTTCGTAGGCACTGCATACACATGCTGCACTTACATGCATGCAGCCATTCATGCACATAAAATAAAAATAATTAAAAAAAAATTGTGTTCTGTATGGTGGAAGGAGAGAACCAACTCCCAGAACTTGTCTCCCAAATAAGTATAATAAAAAATTCAGTAAATGTTAGTAGGACAACGAATTTACTCATAAATGTATTGCATTTCACCTGGGTTTTTTGTTGTTGTTGTAGTTTGGTCTTTTTTGAGACAGGGTCTCCCCAGCTGTCCTGGAACTCACTATGTCGACCAGGCTGGCCTTGAACTCACAAAGATCTGCCTGCTTCTGCCTCCCGAGTGCTGGGATTAAAGGCGTGCATAACCACACCTGGCTCACCTGGCATTTTACTATATTTCAGTGCAACAAATATTTATCACAAGAGTTTTTTTGTTTGTTTGTTTTTTACATTCTCAGAAGCGAGGACTGCCTTCCAGTTACAGAATCGGGGTGATAAAAAGTTTCCTTAGCTATTCTGTTACTCATTTTTTCATGTTTTCATACTTGCCTTTTGTTGCCTGTAACTGTCTTAGATTGTCATTCTTAGCTGTGTTGGTTTGATTTTTCAACAGTTGGTGCCAGCTTTTACACCAAAACCACCTGAGCAACGTGGTGGTTTTTATTCTGAAGGGGATGAGTCAGCTACATTTCTACAGGTTCTATTTGGAGTTTGGATTTCTCCGAAAGGCATTCAGACATGTAAGATAAGAAAACTTTGCCTTAGGGGTTAAGTCAGGGCCTCCCATCCTGAGGCTGGGCACAAAGCTGAGCCAACGTCCATAGCAGCCTAGCAAAGCAGACAGCAGCAGGAGGCGTAGAGAAGGCATGGGTTCTAAGAGTCAGAGACCTCAGGGTAGATTAGAATTTCCTCTGATTTTCTTTAGTAATCTAGGCAAAACACTTATTTCCAAATTATAGTCTGTAGCTCTCAGGTTAATTCTGTTTTATTTGTGATTGGGGGTTTTATAAATTGTAAAACTCACATAAAGTCTGTTTTACTATCTCTTAAAAGGGTATAAGACTGGGCGTGATGGTACGTGCCTATAATGCCAGCTTTTGGGTGGCTAGAGCTTTCAGCAATCTCTCTCCCTGTGTATCATCTGTGCTAATACTGGCATACTGCATGACATAAAGGAAATAGAATTCCTTGGAAATATTCTTTCTCCAATTTATACATTTCTGTAATGGTGATCCTTTTATAATGTATAATGAGAGAAGAAAATTTTCCAGGGCGTGATGTTAGAAAATGTGACTTCATTTACCTCCTCCTCCTTCCATGTTAAAGTTCTCATTTTACAGCACAAACAATTAAGGCCTACATTTTTTTAAGGTCTGAACCAATAATAAATCTCCAGACCTTTCATAGTATTTTGTCTGTTTTCAGGCATTTAAAAAAAAAAACTTATTAATGTATTTTCAGAAATTCTGCTTGCCTCCTCCATCATCTAATTTTCTCTCTGATATCATTGGATTGCAAAATGAAAAAACAGATGGAGATTCACCCAGGACCATTGAAGGTATGACTGTGACTTTGGGTTGATGATTTGTTAAAAGACATTATGGATGTGCTAAAGTTAATGGATGTAAGTGCCCTCCCAACTCAACACCCCAAATCCTCAATTTCAACTTACTTAAGCAAAAGTGCCATTTTTTAAAAAACAAAGATTTTAAAAGGGGGCAAGTTACCAATTAGGCACCAGAAACCATGGGTTCATGTTTCAGAAATTGGTTAAGTCGTATAGCTAAGGATATCTGGCTGTCACTAACACTGAATTTTTATAATTACTGTGAATAATTATTATATATACCTACTAGGGTGTAAGTGGGAAGAAAAATCTTGCCTTTGATGTAAGGGGCACAAATAGTATTCATAGTGAAAATATAGATGGGCAGTTTAGTTATTCCTAGTTTTAGCAGCTATGATGTATGGGTACAGCAGTAGTGCTTAAAAATATGTACCCATGGGACTGGAGAGATGGTTCAGTGGTTAAAAGCATTTACTGCCCTTGGAGAAGATCCAGGTTCAGTTCCCAACACCCACATTAGGCAACTCACAACTGCCTGTAACTCCAGTTCCAAAGGATCCAATACCACCTGGTCTCTGCAGAAACCTGCACTCATATGGTATACATCAGACTCACACAGACACGTACACAAACATATATAAAAACAATAAATCTTAAAACACACACACACACACACACACACACACACACACACACACACAGAGGACTGGGTATGTCCTGTCAGTAAGTTATAATTGACCTGTTTAGGGAGAATGAGGGTGATAGAAGAGGACTTACCAAAGTTCCTTGTGCACTGTAAGAGTAAATATTGCTCAGTGGTACTTCTTTATGTTCAGAAAAAATGAACAATTATATAATTAACTTCCTGCCTTTCCATTGTTCTCCTTCTAGTAGATGCCCATATCATATCTGCAGCTATGTTTGACTTGGCATGCACTGTATTTTAAATGTCTGAGTAAATCATAGAGATATCATAAGATTTGAGAATCAAATAAAGATCTTGAGTTGACATGGCTGAAGGATACAGGTTGTTGGGGATGCTGAGGGGAATAGGAGGTAGTGATAAAAGATGAAGCTGGGGACTCCACTCTGACTGTGTCTTAGGCTTTGAGTACAGTGAGTAATGACGTTGGATTTTATTGCAGGTATTGAGGAGCTAGGGGTGTCATGACCACAACTCCGTTTCCTTAAGGATTTTATTTCATTCTCCATCCTAAATATATCAAAGTTCCCGGGGCCATTCCATAGCATTCTGAGCTTCCTTTAGTCTTTTCTTTGGAGTCTTCACTGGTTTTCAAGTTTACCTGTCAGTTTTCTGTAAGTATTTCCTGTGTCTTTATCTCTAGACCTGATGCCCCAGATTACATTCTTCCATTTTTACTTGCCTGCTGGGCAGGTTTCTTGGTTATTCCGCTCTCCTCTCAGCTATAACAACTAGAACATTGTTCTTAGTCACAAATAGGAGGTTTCCTCCTGCAAGTCTTGATTGTTATGCATTTTTTTGCCAGCATTCTCGAGTTTTAGAATTCTACTTCCGTTGACTCCCTGTACAGCTCTGCTGTGCATGGCTTACTCCTTCTACTCCAGGAAATCCCCACTAAGATTCCACATCATCAGAAAAACCTTCCCTGATCACTCTGTATAAACATACGACAGTAACTGTTTTCCTTGTCTGGCAGTCCCCTTCTCTCTCACTCTTGTGTTTTTATCTATAGTGCTTATCCCTACTTGATATATTAAATATTTTCTATCTTCCAAACTTGAACTTAAATTCCACAGGAAATTTTATTGGTTTTTTACATTGGTTAGAAATGCTAAGCTTATAATAAGCACTCGTAAATAGTTTCTTGAATTATCTTATGTTTAGCATCGTCTATATATTCCTTTCCCGTTTGTCCCCTTGGCCTCCTCACTATAGGCTCCAGTTCTATTTTTGCCAGGATTACTATAAAGCCTTTTCTAGTTTCTCTCTGCTCCGTTTTCGACACATATTTGAGGTTGATGTTGTTCTTTTTAAAAAAAAGATGAATTTTTATATAAGTGTTTTGCTTGCCTGTATGTATGTGTACTTGGTATATGTGCAGTGTTCTTGGAGGCCAGAAGAGGCTGATGGGGCCGCCATGTGGGTGCTGGGAATTGAACTCTGCAAGAGCATCAAGTGCTCTTAACCACTGAGCCATCGCCCCAGGACTGAGGTCGGTATTTCTTTTTTTTTTTAATTTTATTTTTATTTTATGTGTCTGAGTGTATTGCCTGCATATGTGTAAGTGCACTCGTCTTATGCAATGCCCACAGAGGTCAGAAGAGGGAGTCGGATTCCCTTGGAACTAGAACTATGGATGCACAGTGGTTAAGATCACTGCAGGTTTAGTTCCTAGCCCCCATATAGCAGCTCACAACCATTCCCTAACTCCAGTACCAGGGATTCTGATGCCCTCTTCTGGCCTGTGCAGGCATTACACACATGGGTACACTTACAGGCAGGCAAAACACTCATACACATGAGACAAAAATAAATTAATAAAAAGTGTATTTATTTATTTTTATTTTATGTGAATGAGTGTATTGCCTGCCTATATGTAAGTGCACCCATGTCATGCAATGCCCTTGGAAATCAGAAGAGGGCACTGAATTCCCCTGGAACTGGAGTTATGGAGCGTTGTTAGCTATCTTGTGGGTATTGGGAATTGAATCCTGGTCCTCTGCAAGAGCAGCCAGTGCTCCTAATTGCAGAGCCATCTCTCCAACTCCAGCTGATTTCTTAAGATACTCTTTTCATTTTGTCACTTCCCTTCTCCATAAGTTTTATTGCTCTCCATTACGTATTGGGTGATAGACCAAAGCCCAAACTCTTGAGCCTGGCACACATAATGGCATTGCATTTATTTTTATCTCCCTCTTTCAACTTCACTCAGAATTTTTTTCCTTCCTTAGCAATCTGCCACTGCCAAGCCAAGTTCTGTACATTCTGTTTTACTTGGAAAGTCTTCTACTGTGATACATTGGCTTTTTTATTGTAAGGACCAGATAGCCACCTTAAAAAAAATAAATAAATAAATAAAAAACAAAAAAACACTGTTTGAAGGACACACATTGACTAGAAAGCCATCTAGAAGCTAAGTACTTCTAATGAAGAGTCATCTCCATCCCTTTTCTGCAGACAAAGCAAGTTTTCAAAGTGGTTGTTTCTCTGCATTTTCTAGTTAAGTTTCTGGAAGCAAGCAAGGTTCATCAACATAATTACTCTTGTACCATTTAATAATGTCTTGGCAAAAACAAAGTCGTTGGTCAGTTTATAGATGAGTCAAGTTCACATACGAAATCCATTCACTCCCTGGTTAAGGGACAGGCTGATGCCGCTTTTGTAGGTGGCAGGAGGTTCAATAAATTAAGCTAAACCAGGTCATAAGGCTTGTGCAGTAGGTGCCTTTACCCACTGGCCTTCCTGAGGTTTTACACATTCTGATATATATTCAACTGTCTTTGTTGTTTCAGGAACTTTGCTTTCTGCCACTTTGAAAGCCAGCACCAACCCACAGAATGACCCCATCGTTCAAAAGTATGGCTATGAGCAAGTGGGTGTGACCAGATGCCTTCTGACCAAAGAAGAAATGGAGAGGTTTCACTTTCCTTTACAAGGTTTGCTTAAACTTGGTCTAATATTGCTGACAGTTTGTTTAAATACTTTTGTTGAGCCACGTGTGGTGGCACACACTTGGGAGACAGGCATGTGGATCTCCATGAGTTGAAGGCCTGCCTGATCTACATGGAGAGTTCGAGGCCAGCCTGGTCTACATAGTAAGTTCCAAGACAACCGGGGTTACACAGTAAGGACCCCCGCCCCCGCCGCCGAAAGAAAAACCCAGAGATCTTTTGTTGAAACTTCATTTTCATTTTTTTCTGACTGCTTTTGGACTAGCTTATTTTTATATCTCATCTTCTAATGCAGAAATACTTGAAGTGTGGGATGTGTACCATGGTTGGCAAAGTGAGGATTTTAGGTGGGACATGAACCAAGGCTTTAATAGCATTAAAATATTTATTTTTTGAGATAGGTTCTCATGTGTAGCCCAGGCTGGTCTTCCAACACATGAAGATCCATTTACATCTACCTCCTAGAGTGCTGGGATTCAAGGTATGCACCACTATGCCTGGCATGTTAAAATAGTTAATGAAAGTTCTGTTTCATTTTCTTTCATTCCTCCTTAGTCTACCAGAAAGACTCAATACGTCTTTAATATTTTAAGATTTCCTCCAGGCTGAGGAGATGGCTCAGTTGATAAAGCGCTTGGCATGTAAGCCTGAGGACCAGAATTCAGATCCCTCGTACCCACATAAATGCCACTGAGTGTGGCAGCATGCTTATAATCCCTGCACTCTAAGGGTGGATTCCTGCACCAGTCTGGCTCATCATATTAACCGAATTGACAAGTTCTAGGTTCAAATGAGAAATCCTGTCCTGATATATAAGATAGAGGGTAAAGGGTGAGGAAGAAAACAAACGTCAAACTGGCCTCCACATACATACACCCATAGAGATGCAAATATAGGTACACACATGGGCGTACCATATACCGATACACACTAAATTAAAAGTAAGACTTCTCTAATATTCTTAATCCTCTAGTTCCACCCCTCATTTCTTTAACAGTAGAGAGGGTCTATCCTCAGAGTTTTGGTCAGTTCTAGAGCAAGAATTTAATAAAAATACTTGATTTTATTTTCCTATTTCCTCTTAATTAGCGATAATGATGATTAGATTTCCTTTTTTCTTTGTTTCTTTTTCCAGTGTTGGGGATCAAACATAGGGCGTTGTGTATATTAGGTCACTGAGCTACACCCTCAATCCTAAAAAATTTCCTTTTAAAAAAAAGTCTTGGGCTGGCAAGATAGCTCAGCAGGTTAAAGGCACTTGCTCCCAAGCCAGACAGCCTGAGTTTGGTTCCTGGGACCCACATTGGTAGAAGGAGAGAACCAATTCCGATGTGCCTGTGGGTGCGCCTGCATGTGCGCACACACACACACACACACACACACTAAATGTAATAAAAAAAATTTTTAAATTCTTATTGGGGGGGCTGGAGAGATGCCTCAGCGATTAAGAATGTTTCTTCCTCTATCAGAAGGTCAGAGTTCATATCCCAGCATCCACATCAGATGACTCAACAAATGCCTATAACTCCAGCTCTAAGGTATCAGGGCCCCCTTTCTGACCTCTGTGGGCATGTGCTCACACCCACACAAATAAATCTTTTTTTAAAAAAAAATGTCTTACTGGGCAAGGTGTGGTGGCATACTCCTTTAATCCCAGCACTTGGGAGGCAAAGGCAGGTGGATCTCTGTGAGATCGAGCCAGCCTGGTCTACATAGTGAGTTCCAGGCCAGCTGGGGCTACAGGGAGGCCCTGTCTCAAAAAAAAAAAAAAACAGAAAAAAAAAGAATGTCTTGTTGGTGCTGAGAAGATGGCTTAGTCCGTAGATTGTGGCCACGAATGCATGTGGACCTGAGTTTAGATCCCCAGCATCTATATAAAAAGCCAGGTACAATAGCATGTCCCATTAATTCCAGCACTGGGGCAGCATGTACAGGCAGATCCCTGGAGCTCCCTGGACAGCCATTGTAGCCAAATCAATGAGCTCCAGGTTTAATAAGAGACACTGTCTCACAAAATAAGGTGGTGAATGATTTAAAAAGATACTAGACTTGACCTCTGACCTCCACACACAGGTGTGCACAGGTACACATACTTGTGCATGTGTTCACACAAACCTAGGCACATCTTACTGAAATATAAGTAACAGATCTGGGGATGCAGGTCAGTAATAGAGTTCTTTAGCCTAGCATGCATGAGGCCTTGGATTTGATCTCCAGTGTTGCAAAAAAAAAAAAAAGATGCACATATAAAATTAGCATACTAAGGCTGGGCGTGGTGGCACACGCCTTTATTTCCAGCACTTGGGAGGCAGAGGCAGGCAGATCTCTGTGACGTCAAGGCCAGCCTGGTCTACATAGTGAGTTCTAGGACAGCTGGGGCTACAGGGAGACCCTGTCTCAAAAAGACAAAAAAAAAAAAAAAATTTAGCGTACTATACAATTCACTCATAAGTATATAATTTAGTATTTTTATGTTCATAGTTACACAAGTGTGTATTACCATAAGTTAGAAAGAAACCCAGTAATAGCATTTTCTTCTTACCTGCCCTAGTCTTAGGCAGCCATTAATTTTTTATATTTTATTATGTGAAACATGTTTTTTAAAAAACTGGTTTCTTTCACTTCATGTTTTCAAGGTTTATCTGTGCTGTACTATATAGTGGTACTTTGGTTATTTTCAGTACCTCACGATAGCCTGTGTATAAGCATGCTTTAAATGTATTTGTCCATCAGATGGTATATGTGATGTTTCTACTTTTATAACCTATGAAAGATGCTGCTATAAACATTAAGGTACAAGGGTTTTGTGTAGATACATGCCTTCGTTTCTTTTAGATATACACTTAGTTGTATAATCGTTAGACCACATGATAGTTTTCTGCTTGTGTTTTTGAGGGACTGTCAGACTGTTTGCCAAAGCAGCTGTGCCGTTTTACATTCTTTTTAGTAATGTATGAGGATCCTAATTTCCTCACAGCCTCACCAAAACTCGTTATCTTTTCATGTTGGTTGATATTGTTATCTTGTGACTTCATTTGCATTCCCCTGATGATTTTGATCATCTTTTCATATATCTTTGGCAAATTGTCTATTGAGAACCTTTGTCCATTTTTAAATTGAATTATCTTTTTATTACTCAATTATTGGAGTTATTTATTCTAGATGTATAAATTTAAGAGAGAAAGCCATCTGTGAAATGAGTTAAAATTTACTTCATGTATTTATAGAATTGCCATAGGATTAAATCAGTGTCCAAAAGGTAGTTACTATTGTATCTGACATGAATATTGTTTAAATGTTAGTATTTTTTGTGATTTGTGCCACTAATAGTATAGATAAGGTTGAATAGCAATTATAGTGTTTCCCAGATTTGGGGATATCTTCCTTTTCTGGTATACAGTAGATTTTGATTGTTTTCTTTGTTGGCTTGTTTTCTTTGAGATGGGGGTCTCCTTGTAGCCTCCCCCTTCCCCCAGCTGGCCTGGAACTTTCTTTGGAGGCCAGGCTGGCCTTGATCTCACAGAGATCCACCTGCCTCTGCCTCTGGAGTGCTGGGATTAAAGGCGTGCACCACCATGCCCGGCAATTTTGATTCTTTTTGTTTGTTTTTTTATTAGCATATAGTACTTATACATAAAAATGGGTTTCACCATGATATTTTCTTACATATATGTAATTTTTTTTCATCATATTCATTCCTCACTACCCTGCCTCAAACCCCTCAACGTCCGCTGATCCCCTTCCTCTTCCTCTTCCCAACTAGGCCCCCATCTACTTTTATAATTTTTGTCGTGGTTGCTTATAAGAGCATGAGCGTTTTACCAGTGGCTATACCACTGGAGAAAATGTTCCTCCCTCCCCAGAATCTATGAACTGCCTTGTAGATCTTCGAAGATGGTAGATTTTAATCCTTAATGACTCAAATGTTTGGGGGTCAATGAACTGAATATGCCTGGTTGTTGATGTAGGCTACAGAATGGAGTTTCCTAAAGCTGTGTTGAACCTCTGTAGGGAAATTTCAGGTTATGATCCCTGAAAATTGAATAAAATTTCTGAATAGTGATTACAAAGAAATCTCAAGGATAGAATTGGAGGTGAGGATGCACAGTGAAAGTTGCTCAGACTTTCTGCCTGCTATATAGTCTTTTTAGGTAATCTACTATGGTGCAGTAAGTCTCTTTACTGTTTTCTCTTGCTTTATTTAGAAAAGAAAAATGTGGAGCTGAAGAGTTGGTTCAGCAGTTAAGAGTGTGTACTGCTCTTGCAGAGGACCTGAGTTGGGTTCCTAGAACCCTTATAGGGCGGTTCCCAATCCCCTGTAACTCTAGTATCAGGGTTTCTGACACCCACTTCTGGACTCTGGGCACCTGCACTCACATGTGCACAAACCCACACACAGACACACAATATTAAAAAAACTTAAAAAAAAAGAAAAAAATGCCACTTGGAATCATTTGCATATGTTATTCATTCCTAGTACCTCTGTGAGAAGTGTCTAATAACTTTGGGTTAATCTCTTCTCATAAGAAAAAGGAATTGTTTCTTGGTAGCTTCCAGGAGGTCCAGGCCCTAAGACCCCCTGTAGTAGCAGTCTGCAGTTTTCATTCAAAATGTTAAAATGAGTGAATGGAGAAAAACTTAGCACAGAGATTGCCTCTCATTCAGTCTTTATATTTCAAGTCTGTAACAGAGAAAGTTCCCATGTGACAATGTTTCAGTTTCCCCAGATGAAGCTAAAGAATAATGCTCATTATTCTAGTAAATAGTTCTAGCAAATATTCTGTTCTTTTCCTTCTAGGTTCTCCCAGCTGTGAAGACTTTATCCTTACCAAGTGTAATGGTTCTGTAACAGATAGTAGCCCTCTCTTTGGACTTGACTGTGAAATGGTAAGTAACACTTTTGGTTTTTCAGAGCATGTTGCAAACTAGATTATTTCTTGAGTTCAGTGCACCAGTGAACCGGTACGTTTCAGTTACAGTATTCAGTTTAAATAGAAGAAAATAGACTGATGAAAAACTTGGGTCTGTGTTTCAGATGAAAGATTAGTGCAAGTTTTCTAACAAGTTTTTACTTATTACCTGAAATTGTTTTTCCTGGTTGTTTGGTTTTTGTTGTTGTTGTTGTTGTTGTTGAACAATGTCTCATTATGTAGTCCAGGCTGGCCTCAAACTCACTGTGTAGACCAGGTTGGCCTCAAACTCACAGAGAACCTTTGCCTCCCAAGTGCTGGGATTAAGGTGTGTACCACCATCCCCAACTTGATTGTTGGTTTTTTAACAGATAATTCTACTCTCATTGCTGCCATAAAGACTCTGCCTTAATTACTGTTGGCTTGGTCTAGGTTTGCACATTGAAGATTAGAAATAGAATGCCCCTGCTTCAGCAGCACCTCTTTCATTTTATTTTGCTGAACTTGGGTAAATCTTCAAAAGGCAGCACATCCTTTTCCTATACTGTTTGTTTTCTGGCCTTGCCTGGTAATGACTGTCACCTTGTGTAAGTCCCCTAACCTCTCTCAGCCTTAGCTTTTCTGCTTGTGATGTGGATAGTAAAGCCTTCTCCAGCACTTTAGAGTGTGCTTAATAAAAGTAGTGATGCTTAACCATAATAGTAGCTATAATACATGGTCCATAGAAGATAGATACACTCATGATTGAAGCTATTATCTCCGTCTCCTTTTTCATAAAGACAGGATCTCCCTGTATGGCACAGGTTAGCTTTGAACTTTCTTCTCTTGCCCAAACCTCCCTGACCATTTGTCTTCCCTAAAAAAAAATAGCATTTCCTGAAGAAATTATACTGTGTTGCTTCCATTGAACATAATATTCAACAAATGGCCTAACTTTATTTTATACAAAGTGAATCCTCTAGTAAGCAAATGTCTTTACAGTTGCTGCCAGGAACTCTGGCTAGCTGATGGTGGGTGCTAGTTGATACACAATAGATAATAAGAGGAAGTAAGAGCTTTTGCAGTTCAACATGCTGAATGCATTTTTGTCTTTTAGTGCCTTACATCCAAGGGGAGAGAACTAACACGTGTCTCACTTGTGACTGATGGTGGACATTGTGTTATGGATGAACTGGTCAAACCTGATGACAAGATTCTGGACTACCTTACCTGGTATTCTCTACCTCACCTGCCTCTAGCTCTTCTCTGCCCATCACTCCAGAATGGAACCTGACTTAACAAGAATGTCCACAGCTTCTGCTGTTGTGTTTTGTCTACTTATTTTCAAAGAAAAGGCTAGGTCAACATGTGGATATATGTTAATGCTAAAATTATACAATGTCGTGTATAATATTTTACCCTTAGTCTTTAATCTTTCTGTGATATTAAATCAGCAGAATATTATTTTCTTTCTCCTACAGTCCTGCAGTTGTATTCATTTTCTAGCAACTGCCAGATCTTAGAGGGAGATTTATTTATTATTTTTAAAAATTTTTTGGAGACAGGGTCATACTGTATAGCTCTGACTGGCCTGGAACTTGCTATGTAGCCCAGGTTGGCATGAACTAACTCACAGAGATCTGCCTGCCTTTGACCTCCCAAGTGCTGGAATTAAATGTATATACCACCTACTTAGGCTCAGGTAGATAAGCTGTTCTATTAGCAGGCTGGAAATAGTGCTGTGCGGCAAAGATGTGTGTAAAAGCACGTTTGTCATAGTATTACAAAAGTATGAGAATATAAATGTCTTTTAAAAAGACACTACAGGGTGTGGTGGTGCACAGGAGGCAGAGGCCAGCAGATGTCCCTGAGATTGATACCAGCCTGGTCTACACAGCATGTTACAGGACACCTGGAGCTACAGGGAAATCCTGTCTCAAAAAAGCTAAAAATGAAACAAAACAAAATAAACCTGAAAAGACAATGTAAATGTCTGCAATTAGACAATTAGAGGATTTGTTTTTAAAAATTATATAATATGTGAAAATGTATATATATAATATATAATATGTATAGTATGTGAAAATTTACTATGTATAAATAATATTAATCACAAGCAGCACATATGAAATATATCCATGAATGTCCCCAAAATATGGAAGTATATTTATTAAAATGTAAAAAGGAATAATCTTTGGGTAATGAAGTTATGGTTCATTTTTAATTTCCTCTGCTTATTTGTATTTTCAACCTTTTTCATTACAGGCATATATTACATAGAACTTTTATTATTTTTTGAAAAAAGAGTTTCCTGTGAGGAAAAACTGATATTATGGTCTGTCCATTTCTCTCTCTATTGAAAGTTTTTCAGGAATCACGAAGAAGATTCTTAACCCAGTGACAACCAAACTCAAAGATGTGCAGAAGCTGTTAAGAGAGCTCCTTCCTCCTGAGGCTGTGTTAGTGGGCCACTCTCTAGACCAGGATCTCAGAGCATTGAAAGTGTGTATCTGATTAAGACTTTGTTCTCTAGTACCGATGCATGTTCGATGTAGCTCAGATTGTGACGCCTTGGTGCTTCTACTCCTGGCTCCCTTCTCCTTCCCCCTTTTTTCCCTTCAGCATAAGATGCTACTCATTCATTCTCTTTCCTCTTCAGATGATACATCCACATGTTATTGATACCTCACTGCTTTATATTGGAAAGCAGGCCAGAAGATTTAAGCTACAGTTCTTAGCCAAAGTTATTTTGGGGTAGGTTTATACATAAAATGTCCTGATAAATTACATGTAATGTATATTATCTAATTCAGTTTCTGTTTTCCCTCTTAGTTTATAAATATTACTCCTTCTGTTTCTTATGAAATGTAGACATTATGGGACTACAAGTGGGCCTCATGCTGTAGGGCCAGCTACTTTGAAGGCTGAGACAGGAGATTCATAAGTTTAAGGCTTGCTTGGGCTACAAAGTGAGCTCAAGACCAGCTTAGTCAACTTAGTAAAACTGTCTTAAAAAGAAAATTTTTAAAACAAAGAGGGTCTGAGCAACAATGTGGTTTAGAGGGTTCAAGGCATTTGCTGCCAAGTCTGATGAACTTGAGTTCCATCCCTGGGACCCACGTGGTAGAAGAAGAGAACCAATTCCTATAGATAATCCTCTGACCTACACACATACCATGGCACACATACACCCACTCTAGTGGTAGAGCACTTGTCTAGCATATATAAGGCCCTAGATTGAATTGTTACAGAAAAATCCTTCAAGCAGCTAAGGATAGAGTCAGAAACCTGGTTTAATCTTTTCACATGTATGTGGTCTAAATATTAACAATAAAGACTTCAACATTTCTGGGCCCCAGACAGAAGTATGGGGATTCTATAAGTATGGGCATGGTTGAACAGGCCTTTAATCCTAGCCTTCAGGAGACTAAGGCAGGTGGATCTCTGAAATTGAGGCAACTCTGGTCTACATTGCAAATTCCAGGCATGCTGGGGCTACAGGATGGTCTTGTCTCAAAAAGACCAAGAAAAAAAAATGATAGAAAATAAGCTGTTTTCTGCCATTATTTTACTGCTGACACCTGGGCCCTATGTCTCTTTTTCATGATGGCTCATATTAGCTCAGGAAAAATTCCTTCCTGAGTTAACCCATCATAGCTTACAAAATAGATAACCCAGTTGTGGGTCAGGACATCTGCCCCCTTTGATCTATAGGTAGGCCAAGCTAATTGGACTAGGAGTCGATCAAACAGTCATTGCAGTTTACAAAAACAGATATCAACAGGCAGAAGTTTAGTTATCTGTCACATTTGATCTGTACTTTTCTTGGGCTAATTGGACCAGTTTCCTCATTAAACCATTTGGTGAACTTTCCATTTTCTTAGTTTTACATCTTTATCAACAGACATAGCAAGTAGAAAGCATCACAGAGCTTCAAGGTATTACAAAGTACTAAAATATCACTGAGTAGTGAAACAAAAAGAAACTACAAAGTAGTCAAACTTAAAAGAAGATTATGTAAGAATATAGTTAGGAGGGCATGGTTGAGCAGGCCTTTAATCCTAGCCTTCAGGAGACTAAGGCAGGTGGATCTCTGAAACTGAGGCAACTCTGGTCTATATTGTAAGTTCCAGGCCTGCTGGGGCTACAGGAAGGTCTTGTCTCAAAAAGACCAAAAAAAAAAAGAAAATGAGAATAGTTTTAATTATAAGAATGTAACTTCTTGGGGCTGGAGAGATGGCTCAGTGCTTAAGAGCACTGACTGCTGTTGCAGAGGACCTGGGTTTAATTCTCAGCAGCCACATGGCAGCTAAAAACCATCTGTAACTCCAGTTCCAGGGGATCCCACACCCTCTTCTGACCTCCATGGGCATTGTGTGACACAGGTGCACCTACCTACATGCAAGCAATACACTCATACATAATGAAATAAAAAGAATAATAAAAAAAAGAATTAACTTCTTAACACAGCAGTACCATAGAAGAAAAGATGCCATGGAAATAGAGAGGGACATGCATTCACAGTGGACACTTAATAGATAGAACCAGGTGGGGCAGCCCAGAAAGTTCATTGAAAAGCAAAATGTAGGGGCTGGAGAGATGGCTCAGTTGTTAAGAGCACAAGCTGTACTTCCAGAGGACCGAGGTTCGATTCCCAGCACCACATGGTGGCTAACAACCATCTGTAACTCCAGTTCTAGGGGAATCTGATGCCTTCTTCTGACCTCTGCAGGCATTCCATGACATGGGTGCACTTATATGCATGCAGGCAATATATTCATACACATAAGACAAAAATAAATTAAAAAATTTTAAATCAAAATGTAGCATACCTATATTGAATATATCTTGTAGTTTTGAAGCACACAAGTGCAAAGATGTTCATTATAAAATGGTTCAAAATAGGAAGAAAAAAGGCTAAAAATATTCTAGAGGATGAATGATGGTTATCTGTGCTATTGAACACTCTGTTGTTCAAACAACTGTGATTAGCACTGTGTGTGCTACTGTGGAAAATTCTAAGGTATTACTTAGACTAAAATGCAGTTGTAGATTATATTTAGATAGGCATATTGATACACATGTATGCTTAAGAATTTTTAAAAACAACCAAGAAAAGATTGAAATATATCTATACTTGTATACGAATAGAAAACTTATAGAAGGAAACTTTAAACAGTTGATGCATCTAAGAATGGCTGGCTGGGAAGGTAGGCAAGAGACTTCGTTGTCTAGCCTTTTGGCATACATACTGTAGACAAAGCCATTCCTGATGGTTCTGAATGCCTAGTAACTCTTGGGGCTTGACAGGTGAGAAGAGAAGAGGAATCTTGATTGCTGTAATGTGAATTTGATTATCACAATAGTGAAGCTTTATGTACAGTGATTATGTCTTCACTTTCTAGGAAAGATATACAGTGTTCAAACAAGCTTGGTCATGATGCCATAGAAGATGCTAGAACAGCACTTGAATTGGCTCAGTATTTTCTTAAGCATGGACCACAGAAGGTTAGTATCTTTGGTCTGTATATTTGTTTTTGTTAATACTATGAGACTGGGGGCTGGAGAGATGGCTCAGTGGTTAAGAACACTGGTTGTTCTTGCAGAAGACCCGGATTTGAATCCCAGCACCCACATAGCAGCTAACAACTGTTTGTAACTCCAGTTCCAGGGGATCCAATAGCCTCTCTGTCCTCCGCGGGCATTGCACGACGGGAGTGCACTTACCTACATGCAGGCAATACACACATAAAATAAAAATAATAAATATTAAAAAAAAATATGAGACTGGATCAGATATTTATAGATTATTATTTCTGCTGTTATCTTTCTTTAAAAAAATAGGAATATGACTGAGATTAAAATTGAGACCAGTGTTGCTAACATAATGTAGTAGCTGAGCACATAGCCTCTAAGGTTTGGCTTATCTGTTTTTAAATGTAGGCCTATATCAACCACCAGTTGCTCTGAACAGCTTGTTTTAAATCTATAAAATGAGAATACACACTTTGCCTGGGATATTGTTGAGGGTAAATAAGATAGCTGTGTGTAAAGCTCTTAACACAGTGTATTGAATATATTAAGCACCATGCTGGTGGTGATGACCATTGGAACTGATACTAATTAAGAGAATTTTTTTGATGACAAAACCAAATCCAGTCTATTTATTTAAATGTACATTGTACATAAGTTACAAATTCTCTCTTCTGCCACTCAACTTTTCTGGAAAAGTCGTTATTTCTTCCTTGATTCTGATTTCTGTAAGTAGTGTGAAGTTACTGTGTTTGAAGGTTATTGCTGACCTGTTTGTTGGTGTTCCTGGCTAGGCACCAGGCTAGGCCAGTGGAAGTTGTATCAGAAGTGTCTCCCAAAAGGGAGGTGCGCACAGGGATGGAGTCATAGCGCCTGCACATGGCCACCTCGAGGTTGCACAGATGTGGCATGGCCTCCACCCACAGGGAGAGCAAGACCATCAGCCACATGGTGTGGAAGTGGACAAGCTGCTCCAACAGCCTCACGCTGAAGTTGTGAAGCCACAAATCCATGCCCATGGAGGCCAGTAACTGGTCTATACTACCTGCCTCTGGGGCCACAGTGCAAAGAGCAGGCCTGTAGCCTATGCCAACGCCAGCAGCAAGACCTGAGCCAAGAATTACTTTTTTGAAAACTATAGAGTTGTGCTCACTTAGAGTGGAAGGACACACCATTGTTCCAACAGCAGTTCAGTGAATATGGATTTGAAGAGGATGGTTTCTGAAAGACTTTGTGAAACTCTTGGTGGTGGTGGTTTTTGTGATGCAGTGTCTCACTGTGCACACTAGCTGTCCTATAACTTAGTATATATATACAGCCTAAACTAGCTTCAGATTTGCAGTGATCCTCTTGCTTCTGCCTTCCAAGTGCTGGCAACTTAGGGACAAAAAAGTAGAGATAAGGAAGTAATTTTGGCTAAAGGCAGACTGAAAAAAGTAAAGATACGCAGTCAGGTAACGTAGTACAGTCCCATCTCAGGACGCTGAGCCACAGAGGCCTTGCAGACCAGTCTGTATTTTCAGAGAGGAAAATGAGAGTGACAAGAGGAAGTGGGGAAGGAAAGAAGCGATATAAGGCAGGAATTAAGCGAGACCGAGATGGCCTGCTAAGTTGATATTGGGTATTAAGTAAGGGAGGAATAGATGTGGAGGGGAGAGAGTGGGATGTGAAAACTGCCTGACCTGATGGCTAGGGTTCATTATTGAGTCTGTCATGTCCCTTCCCTGGCTCTCAGAAATCCGTTTAACTTCTGGTAGTTCCTCTATGGCAAGAAGTCTTGTTTTCCTCTCTGGTCTTCCTTTGGATGATTGAATTGCAGACACTGATCCTGTTTGCACAGTGCTTCACAGGTAGATTCTCAAATGCTGGTTATACCTCGTGTTCTTTCTGCTCTGGAGTGGTGAATGCTGACCTTGCCCTACTTGATCTTTTCCAGGGTCTGGTGGGCCACTTGGGGGTGAGGGGATTTTAGTTTTCTGTGAGGTTGCTATGCCAAGTTCTGTCACAAACTTGCTCTGATCCATACAACTCATTGCTGCTCCAACCACGATGGGGGTTGGAAGATGCGTGTTGAGAATCTCTGAATTTCAGCCTCACTAATGATACTGCACTGCTGCCTGGGGGTGTGTTGCTTTCCTCTGGATGCCGCACCATGTTCCAAGTTCTGCCTTGCATTCTTCCTAAGCTTTTCATGGATCCCTTGATCTACCAGGCAATAGCAGTGGTTGGGGAATGATGTGTGTTGTGGATTTCTCAAGTTTAAGACTCCTTACACCTCTGGAGCTGTGTCTGGATTGTGGAAGTACTGACCTTTGCTGGTGGGTTCAGGAAAACTGGGTTTCACCTGTGCCAAGCTCCCCCATTGTTCATTGTTCTTACTGCTTGCTTCAACAGCCAGTCAAAATTAGCATAATTTCTTCATAGAGCCAAGGGTCCACATCCTGTCTCTGGGTTGTTGTGAAACTGTGTGTTTCTCAGTGTGCCAGTTCCCCAGGAGACATGTGGCTGGAGTGTATCTCCTTCACTCAAAGAATAATTATGACTTTTTAAACAAATTTTACTAGTATCCCAGGTTCAAATGGAACAGCTTGGCAGTAGCTCCTCTGGGAATGGTAGGGCACATAGGGAGACTCTAAATGCGTTATTTTTAAAAAAATATATCTCACTTCTCAAGTATACTTTATGAAGAAGAAAAAAAATCAGACTTTTGATGGTTTTGTATTAATATACAAATGTATAATTGTCTTTTTTTGATGTTGCTGTAAAAGGTATTTTCCATTTCCAAAACTTGCATATTTTCAGAGAAATACATTTTAAGGGACTGAATATGAAATAGGAAGAGCCAAAATTGCCATCATTTTTCATTCATCCATCAGTAGCTGGCCACAGATTGCTATTCTTGGCTCAGCAGCCAGCAACCATCTGGTACTATTGCCTGGCAGTGGCAAAGCCATTGTTCTGAGGATGCAGAGACCATCGCACGAGTGGAGTTTTGTTTTTTCACCTCAAATGCAGTACAAAAACTTAAGATGATTGTTGTCACTTAATTTTCTTCTAGATTGCAGAGTTTAACCTGGACGCAGCAGCCAGCCACCAAGAAATGAAAGTAGCAGGCCAAGAGCCAAAAACTACGACAGGAGTTTCTAAGCACTCCAAAGCAAGGTGGTGTTTCCCAGCTAGTTTCCCAATATGTTTGGTGGTCTAAAATTATGTTTTCCATTGAAAATTAAGACACTGGAATAACTGAACCCAAGTTTCATTAGGAAAGATGATAAACTTGTTGGTATTTTTCAGTTAGAAGACTCAATCTACAGTCTTTGATGTAGTGCCCAGATTGGGGAAACACACACATACACACACACACACACACACACACACACACACACACACACACAAATAGACTCATAAAGGGTTTGGTTTTAGACTGTGATGAATGTATCATAATGAATGTGGCTTAAATTTTGATAGAAAACTTTGGGTATATTTCTTGTTTATTTTTCCCCTCCCTGTTAGAGTAACATTGTCTCCTTTGATTTTCTGCAATGATGAAATGTGCTCTCTGGTGTAGTGACCACTAATCACAAATGGCTAATGCATTTGAATAATAGCTTTGTAAAATTGTTTTTGATTAATTGACTTTTATGTGTGTGTTTTGCCTTCATGTACATTAAATACCCAATGTGCACACAAACCCACAGAGGCTGGAAGAGGGCATCATGTGCCAGCTGCGAACCAAACCCAGGTCTTCTGCAAGAGCAGCCAGTGCTCTTAACTGCTGAGCTATCTCTCCAGCCCCCTGAGTTTTTAATTTAATTTTAATTAAATATACCCAGAGTTTTCTATCAAAATTTAAGTCACATCCCAAGAATGTGATACATTCATTATGGTCTAAAATAAAACCCTTTAAGAGTGCGCGCGCGTGTGTGTGTGTGTGTGTGTGTGTGTGTGTCTGTTTGTGTGTTTAAATGTAAATAGCTACATGTTGTGACTACCATATTGAACAGTAGTACAAATAATAAAAATATCAGGTCATAACTTAAAGACTACTTTTTTTTTTCTTTTTGATCTGTGTGTATGTGATCATGTGTACAATTGACTGCAGAGGCCAAAAGAGGGCATCTGATCCCCTGGAGCTGGCATTATGGTTGTGTGCTGCCCATCTTGGATGTTGGGAACTGACATTGGGTCCTCTGCAAGAGCAGGAAGTGCTCTTGACCATTGAGTCATCTCTCTAGCCCTATTCTTATCTTGACCTCTTATTTCTTTACAGTGTTTTAGAATGCCTGGACTCATTGGGTCAGAAGCTCCTTTTCTTGACCCAGGATACAGATGAACTTTCTTCTTTAGGAAACTGTCAAACTATTAAGTGCCCTTCAAATAAAGAGGTGAGTGACCTTTTGAACCTTTGTAGGGTACATTCACAACAGAGGAGAATGCGATCCACGTGTCAAGATATTTTTCATTAGCAACCCTGGCTCCAGTAAGCAAGTCTGCCTTCTGTCTCACATCTTGAATGAAGCACTGTAAGTCTGTTACTGCATAGAAACAGAGCTGTCAGCTGCCAATGTCTGCTTCCAGAGAACAGCAGACCTGTAGCTTGTCCTTGCAGACCACTTAAAATATCCGTTCTGGTATATGGAAATATCTGTTTTCGAGCCTAGCTGTATCTTGTTATATTTTATCATTGCACTCTGTGTGTGTGTGTGTGTGTGTGTGTGTGTGTGTGTGTGTGTGTGTGTAATCTCTCAGAATCTGCCTGTCTCCACCCCTTCACCCCATCCCTAGCATTGGGGTTATAGGGGGGTACAACCATTTCCAACTTTTATGTGTATGTTGGGATCCAAACTAAGTTTGGATCATGCTTGAGCAGCACTCAAGCCCTGTACTACTGAGCCATCTCCCTCACCCCTGAAGTATTCTCTTATTTTCTTTTGGGAATTTATTCGCTATAATTCCTTGTTGTATTATTTTAGTGGTTGTGTTAAGATTTGTAGTATGCTGACATTGATAGTTATTTCCATTTACCTTTATGTAATAGTGCACCTTTTAATGTGTAAGAAGCTCACAGCTGTGTACTTACCTTTCCCTCCCTCCACCCTTAGTGCTCTTGTATTGTGGTTTACTTCTCAATATACATTTAGAGCCTACTCTATACTGTTACTATTTGGTGAGGGTGGGAGGCACTGGATTATTTGTTAAAAGAGATTGTAGTAAGATGCAATGGGTATATTTACCATGTAATTATCACATAATGCACTTCATTCCTTTGCATAAGGCCACATTTTAATTTGGACGGTGCAGGGTCTGCAGACACTAAATTTTTAACAGCTTTTATATATCTAAAATACTCATTTTTTAACTTTTGTGTTTGGAAGATATTTTGACATTTGTTCTTCTTTGGTGCTTTAAAGATCTCACTATATTGTCTTTTAACTTGCATGGTTTCTGAGGAGAAATCTGTTGACTTTTTTTATTCCCCCACATATAAATGTGACTTGTTCTCTGCTTGCATAATTACAGGTTCTTAGCAGTTTAATTATGATGTATTCTGGTGTGACTTTCTAATGTTTCTTGTGCTTGGAGCTTGCTGAGATTTTGAAATCTGGTCTTATTGTTTTCCCTAAATTAGAAAAAAAAATTACCATTGTTTTTTCTAATTTTTTTTTCCACTACCTTCCCCTTGTTTGGAGACTCACACTGTGAGTATGTGAGAGTGCGGGGATTCCCATAGCTCACTGACGCTCTGTTCGTTAGCTCTCCTGTGTCCCAGCACCCTCACATTCTTACACTTTTATCTTTCTCTCTCTTTTATTCTAGATATCTTTCATTGTTAATGTCTTCATGCTCTATAATAATTTCTTATGTGGTATTTAATCTTTTAATAGTCACATCCAGTGTACTTTTACTTCAAACGTTTTTCCATGTATTTTTATTTTGAAATACATAGTTTTATTATTTTAACATGATCACAATCTCACATTAAAAAAACCATTAAGATATCTGTAAAAGGATTTTTTTTTTAAGTTTTAAGGAAGTCACTTGGGCTCTGGGAACCAAATCAGCCATCTTTGTTCCCATATACCAAACAAATCCACCGTGAGTTAAGGCCAAGATGTTGTTTTTGTAGTCCCTTTGGGTTTTCTATCAGGAAAGTAAGTCATGGCTGTAAGAAGGATGGCTTGAGGTAAAATAGGATTCCTTTTCTGTTACCTCTACTTTAATGTGCAAAGCAACAGAAGTGTGGGTGCTAAGCCATAGTATTATTCAAACTTGTCAGTGAGTTCTCTTCTCCAAAGAAGTGTACAGAGCAGAATTCCCCAGGCAAAAGCTCAAGCCACCACATATTCTTACATTCCTCCTGTCTGATATAAGGAGAGCCTCTGCTGCATGCTTTAGCAGTGTGCTCTAAGGAGAACCTCTATTGCATGATGTCCTAGTTTGTTCTTCATTGCTGTGACAGAATACTCTGACCACTACCAACTTGGGGAGGAAAGGGTTTATTTGTCTTATATCTCCCAGGCCACAGTTCATCAAGGAGCCCAAGGTAGGAACTCAGGGCAGGAACCTGGAGACAGGAGCTGGAGCACAGGCCATGGAGGAACACTGCTTACTGGCTTGCTCCCTTGGCCCCTGCTCAGCCTGCTTTCTTATGCAACACAGGCCCACCTGGCCAGCGGTGGCACCACCCACAGTGGGCTGGGCCCGCCCACATCACTCGTCAAGAAGATGCCCTTCAGACATAGCCACAGGCCAGTCCAATAGAGGCAATTTCCCGATTGAGGCTCCCTCAACCCAGGTGTGTCAAGTTGACACTAAAGCTATCCAGCACACATGACAAACGTAATTTTAATCTTAAATGTTAAATTAGCTCTCGGGGATCTTCCAGACCTCTAGTTAATGTAGTCAGACTTTTCAAATTCTGGAATACAGTTATAATGATTTTAACATCCTTACCTATTTGATCATTGGGTCATTTTTGGGTGAAGTTTAAATGATTTTTATCCTTATCCTGAATTGTATTTTTATGCTTCTTTGCATACCTGGTGTTTTTTGTTTATTGCAGGCCAGACACCATGAATTTTACCTTATTGGATACTATATAGTTTTGTGTCTTTGTTATCTTTGCAATTACTCATGAACTTTGCTTTGAATGTGCTTAAGCTTTGTGAAAACACTATTGCTTTTGAATCTTGCACTTAAGATTTTTAGGTAGAACCAAGGCAGTTTTACCCCACTACGAATACAAATCCAAACTTAGTGTTTGATGGTGCATGAGTTATGAAATCTGTGCTCTAGATTTGGGGGCTCTGAACTGTTCCCTACCTTCTGTGAGGTTTTAGAAATGTTCCCTGCCATCCTTTTGAGACTAATATATGTCCTTTATCCAAAGGTGTAATATATTGATGAAATTTTGAAGCAGGGAATTAGAATCGGAGCCTATCTTATTCTCCACTTCACACATCAACCTGGTGTTGGAGTACCTCCAGGAGCAGTATACCCCTTGAAAGATTTAAAACTTAGTACCTTAGCACTCAGGAGGCAGAGGTGGTAGACTTCTGTGAGTTGAAGGCCAGCCTGGTCTACATAGTGAGTTCCAGGCCAGCTGGGGCTACAGGGAGATCCAGTCTCAAAAAGACAAAAGAAAAACACCCCAAACCCCAAAAAACATAGGTTCTAAAGGCTGCTTGCAATAGGGCTTGACACAGCTACCCAGAGGCTGAGGATAGCAATTTCAAGCCCAGCTTGTGCTGTGGATTGAGTTCAAGGCCAAGTTGGGCAATTTAGTAAGACCCTGTCTCAGAGGTGGCTGGAGATCTAACTTAGTAGCACAGCTCTTGCTTGACATGCACAAGACCTTGGGGTCAAGCCCCAGCACCACACAAAACTTAAAAACCCAATGCAGAGAATAACACAGATAAATAGTAAGAGTGTTACCTACACAGCTTTTCTGGGGGACTGTGTTTTCCCTATTTTCCTCTAGACCTGGAACTCAGCCCAGTACTATTTGATAAGAGTAAAATAACAACTACTGTTCCATGTTATTGTGGCTCCCAGAGAGAATGGAGGGAGTACTGGGTTCCTAACTTATCTATGCTGTGCTGGTCTCTTCAGGTGCTTGAGCAAGCCAGAGTGGAAGTCCCTTTGTTTCCCTTCAGTGTTGTACAATTCTCTTTTGAGCCCTTTATGCCTGAATTCACTGAAGAAATGAAGAGAAGGGTAAGTAGATTAATTCTGCTGAACTGTTCATTTGATGGCTCTTCATTTAGGATAGTAATGCACATTTGTTTAAATTTGCATTTATTTCTCCATATTATTTCAACATATGTTAACATTTAAAAAGCATATTTTATAAAAATAGGAATCAGATTAAATATGCTGCTTTGCAACTTTGTGTGTTTGTGTGGTACATGTGTGTGTGTAGGTACACACGCACATGCAGAGGCAAGGACAGAGGCCATTATGGTAGTGTTTTCCTCTGTCACTATCCACCTTATTTTTTGAGACAGGGTCTCTCTCTGAATCTGGAGCTCACTGATTTAAGTAACCTGTCTCCACTTCTGAACACTGGGATTAGAGGCATGTGCCCCTGCACCCAGATTTTCTTGTGGATGTTGGGGATCTGAACTCAGGTCCTCAGGCTTACACTTAGGCAAGCACTGTACCCACTGAGCCATCTCTCCAGCCCCTTGTTAATTGTTTTTTTTAAAGTGTATCTTTTGCTTCTTATTATATTATTACATGACTTATTTTTTTTATTTTTGAGGTCATACTGTGTGTCATACTTATTATTGAGATCATCAAAAAATTTTTCCTAGTATAGTATTGTAGATCCTTAGATGCAGATTCTTGTATATTTGTCAGTTACTTACATCTGTAATGATTATTGACTGTAGACATTGGAAAAGGTCAGTAATACTTTGACTTAGTTTCAGTTCTCTTTCAAAAATGTACCTTTTCATTTTATTCTGTTGTTTTCTCTACAGATGAGGACCAAGTGGACAGAGATGTCAACTGTCTATGCTGGGCCTTTTAGTAAAAATTACAACCTCAGGATGGTGAAGAAGATGTTTAAGAGCTTTGGCCCAGTCCAATCAATAACTGTTATTCTTGAAACTCATAGGGTAAGATAGGAAAACTCAGATTTTTACTTTCTCCGGCTCTGTCTGATGGGACTAGTTGTTGAGCCATATACCTAGTTTTTCCAGATCTTCCATTTTTGTATATTTATGGTTTATGTTTTGCTTAATGAGAAATGTACCATGTAGACTAGTCAAAAGTATGTCTGCTGGTTGAATGTAGCCTTTGCGCCTCCTAAGTGTGACTTCAGATTTAAATGGTGAAATGAAGACTGGTGAGCTGGCATAGCAAGTGAAGGCTAGCAAGTCTGTGACCTGAGTTGATCCCCAGGACTCATGTAGAATGAACCAACTCCACAGATTGTCCTCTGACCTCCACATTCCAGCTGTGGCGCAAACACACATAGATAGGAGAATGTAATTTAAGAACTTTAAAAACTTTTTTTTAATTATTATTTTTATTTTATGTATATGAGTGTATTGCCTGCATGTATTGTAAGTGCACCTGTGTCTTGCAATCCCTGTGGAGGTCAGAAGAAGGCATCGTATCCCTGGAACTGGAGCTACAGATGGTTGTTATCTGCCATGTGGGTGCTGGGAATCAAACCCAGATCCTCTGTAAGAGCAGTTAGTGCTCTTAACCTCTGAGCCATCTCTCCAGCCCCAAGAACTTTAAAACATTTAAAAAGAACAGTGACTTCTCTATTTTAGTAAGTTTTGTAGGGCTTAACTGCATAATAGTTTCATAGCTAAGATCATTTAGGGAGGATTTTTGATTTTTTTTTCCATTTATTTTTGGTGGAATTAGGGATTGAACCTAGAGCCTCAAGCATGTTAGACAAGTACTCTACCACTGAGCTATATTCCTAACCCTTTTTATTTTAGATTGAGATAGGGTCTCACTGAGTAGCTTATGTTGGTGTCAGATTTGCAATCCTTCGCACTCAGCCTTCTGAGTAGTTTGGATAACAGATGTATGCCACCATGCCCAGCTTTGATTTTATTTTAATTTTTTTTAAATGTGTTTTGGTTCTCTAAGGGGCATTGGGCTGGCCAGTAACAAAAACCCCCAGCCTGGTTTTTTTCTCCAATCCTTTAAAGAAAGTTTTGTATTTTTATTATAAAAAGAATATTTTGTGTTTTTATTTATGTAAATGTACTTTAAAGATTTTAATTTAAGGTTTGTAAATAATACATATCATCTTAAATATTCATATAGTGCCAAGGGACTTAATAAGTCAACCTCCATCTTCATGGTCACACCATTATTAAGAGTACGGAAAGAATATAGCTGACATCTAAGGTAGTAACAAGCACATTCTATAGGAAGAGGGAAGACGGCATGAAAAAAATTAAAGGTAGAAATAGGGCACAGTGTGGTGGCACATGCCTTTAATACCAGCATTTGGGAGGCAAATGAATCTCTGTGAGATTGAGGCCAAGCCTGGTCTACATAGTGAGTTTCAGGTCAGCTGGGGCTACAAGAAGACCCTGTCTCAAAAACAACAACAACACAATACAAAACAAAACAACATAACAGTATCTGTAGAAGCTGGGCATTGTGGCACATGGAGGCAGAGGAAGGACAGTCACTGTAAATTCAAGACCAGCTTGATCTACGTAGTGAGTTCTAGGCCAGCTAGGGCTACACAGTGATACTCTTTCTTCAAGGAAGAAAAGAATCTCTACCGAATACTTTGTAGTGAGTGATAATAATGGAGGCTCCAGAGAGAAAACTGAGGTAACTTGAGTAAAGAGTAGTTAAAAGAAAATGTCACTGTCCATATTTGGTACCTTTAGAATGTGGAGCTAAGGCAGCTACTAACATGGTACACTAATAACTATGAAAACAAAGCAAAGACATAAGGACTTCCAAAGTCACCGTAGTATAGAATCCCAGATAGATTAGGATGTGCTTTTCCCAAATCCTTCTGTTCTTATGACTAAAAATACAGATGTTATTATCCCTGAGAAAATGGACTTAGGATTGGGTAGTTTGAGGCAAAAAACCTGTGACCTTTTAGAAGTCTTTATGTTGGCCTTTTCATCGTTATTTGTATAATACACATAACTTGGAATTTACCTTTTTAACCTTTTGAGTGGCCTTAAGTACTGAAGCTGACTGAACGATACCTCCCTAATACAGTAACTGTGCTACTTTCTATGTGAGTTTGGCTCCTCTGTGTACTTCACATCAGTGGAATCATGCTATTTGTCCTGGTTGTACTGGCTCATCGCACTCAATGATTCTATCCATTCTTAGAGAAATCGTCAAGGTTCATCCATGTTGTGGCATGCATCAGAATTTCATTCCTTCTCAAGGCTGAATAACATGTACATGTATACTACATTTTCATTATTTGTTGATCAAGGACATTTAGATTATACCTTTGGCAGTTGTGAACAACACTGCTTTAATGGATGTACAAGTATATGTTCAAGTCTTTTTGTTTCTTCTTTGCTTACACCTAGAAGTGGAACTGATACATCAAATAGTAACTACATTTAATTTTTTATGAAACCAGCATACTCTTTCCCGTATCAGCTGTGCCATTTTATATTCCCACCAGCAAACAAGGGTTCTCATTTCTCACATCCTCACTCACATTTGTTCCCTGCTTTTTCTTAATAGCCATCCTAATGGATATGAAGTGGTATATCACTGCAATTTTGATTTGGATTTCCTTAGTGATTGGTGGTGTTGGGTGTCATTGGCCATGTGTATATCTTCTTTGGCGAATCAAGTGTTTGCCCATTTTATAATCAAGTTGTTTGGGTTTTTGTTGTAAAGTCACAAGAGTTCCCTATAAACTTTGAATGTTAATGTCTTTTTATTTTATGTGTATGAGTGTATTGTCTGCATGTATGTAAGTGCACCCATGTTGTACAATGCCCATGGAGGTCAGAAGAGGGCATCAGATCCCTCACCACTGGAATTTCGGACAGTTGTGGGTGCTGGGACTTAAACCCAGGTCCTCTGCAAGACAGGCAGTGCTCTTAACTGCTGAGCCATCTCTCTAGCCCCCTGAGTGTTAATCTCTTATTATATATGTGGCTTGTAAATAATTTTCTCCTATTTCGTGGGCTGCCTTTTGACTCTCTTGATAGTCTTGATGCATAAAGGCTTTTAATTTTGATGAAATCCAATTTGTCAATTTTTTCTTTTGTTATGACATCATTACCAAAACGATGTCATAAAACTTTTCTATGGGAGGGTTTTTATCTCCATGATGATATGGATCAGATGATTGTAAGGACTGACCTACTCTGAGTCATGAAGCAGAAAAGCAGATGATTTGAAGATGTAGCCTAGCAAGTGGAAGAACTTAGCCTCTCAAGCATACTGAAAAGATGTCTAAAAATCAGGCTAAGAAGAGGAATGAAGTCTGCCTGTGGCTTACATTAATGACTTTAGTGCTTTGCAATAAATTTGAAAAGCAAGTTGGGTAGTAAAGAATTTGTTAGTGCTTTCCTTATACTACCCAGCACAATAGCCTTTGATTTTCAAATGAAAAATTAAAGTTATTGTCTGAAAACCAGTAACTGACAGTCTCTAGTCACTACCTGCATAACCTAGTACAGCAAAGGCATCTGTTCTGGACAGATCTCTTTCCCATCCCCTACCTCCAGCAGTTTGAGTTGGAAAGTAACAGTGGGGAAACCTTGGTCTTTCTACAGCCTCATCTCCGTATACAGTATGAAATCCTGGAAGCCGCCCAGCTGGCTATAGAGACTATGAATGACATTCAGGTAGAAGGCCTCTGCATCAAGGTAGGGTGGTCAAAACCGACAGCAGCCTCTTTCATTCATGCCTGGGTTAGCATAGTCCGTATGTGGTGTCACTAAAACATGGGAGAAACATCCTGGAGATGCCCAGGCACAAGACTCTGTAATGGAATACCTTCAGCCAAGACTGGCAATCTCCTAAGAGTCAATAGCTTTTATATTTTATAAAAACCAGCCTGGGCTGTATTGGGGTCTTCATTGTATTCCTTATTATTATTTAATTCCTAAATGGTTTGTTCTAGCAATTTCTCTGAGTCTACCTATTCCTTTAGCTTTCAGGGGGATGAGATTGTGAAGTTTTTTTGTACAGGTTAACAATTTCATTGTAAATGGCAGGTAGGAAACTGGAGAGAAGAGATTTACATGAAAATATGTTATTTATCATTTAAGTCCCCAATCAGTTCTGTGAGGCAGTTATGAGCCTCCTTACAGATTAGGAAGCGCACAATTAGCTTACTGATACACATCATGCTTGAGGGTTAAAGTGGTGACTTTCCCACCACTCATACCATCTTTCCTTGGTTAGGTGCGTAGGCCTGTGACAGAATTCACCCTTGACTCTGACACCCTTGTGAATGAGCTGGAACAAGATTCTGAGAACCAAGGTACTATTTACCTGGCTGGAGTAAGTGAAACTTTTAAAACACACCTGTTGCAGCAGTCGAACCTCTTCCATGGCCTGGAAGCTATGATCCTGCCTAAAGACGTTAAAAGCAGAAAGCAGAAAAACTACTGTTTCTTGAGTAAGTGTATCATTGAATGTATCCATACAGGAAAATGACATGAGGTCAGAGAAGGGATCACCTGGAGACAAGCTCTCCTGGGGGGTGGACCAGGGCCGGAGCTTCTAATTCTAGCCTATCCCCATGCTTAAGCAGGGGGGCTTATATGTTGATTTGCTTTCTTGGCCCTTAATAACAAATGTTGGGGTTTTTCTTGCTTACAGAGTTCAAAACTTTTGACAACGCCCAGAGAGCTCTTGAGATTCTCACAGGCAAGGACTGGGAGCTGAAAGGCCGGCATGCCCTAACCCTCAGGCACTTCCAAGCATGGCTCAGGGACTTACCTCCTGAACCAGCAAGGCTCATGGGGCTTCAAGTTACACCTCCTCTCTTGGAGAAGCAGGCCTTGCAGGTAAGAAAGGTAAGGAAGTGTGTCCTGCGGGGGAGCTGAGGGGAGGGGGCAGCTCTGATCTGACTCTAGGGAATAGTCAGGAGAGACTTGCTCAGGGATACTATACTAGAGCCTTCCATTTTTTTGGTTTTATTTATTTTTTTATTTTTCCCTGCCCTGGACCCAATCTTGTTACTCTAGCCTCCTCTAGCCCTGGCCATATCAGATCTTTCAGACTTTGTCCCTCAGATAACTGTTAAATCCTGTTTTTAGTCTTCAGGGTGGCTCTCTAAGGAACTTTGAGGGACTAAAGTAGGCAGCGGGAGAACTGGTCTTTAGTGATCTAGATCAAGTCTACCCAAAGTGGTATGTACAAGGTAAATTTTGGCTGTCATAGGTAGACTTTGATTGTTTCCACTTCTGAAGTTACAGACTCAGTTAAACTATATAAGCCTGAGATTCATGGATATTATTATTTAGGCAAGACTAAGGCAGAACCGGACTCATTTAAAGGAAATATATGTGTAAAGGAGGTATATGTGTAAGAATAGAGATAGAAGACTGAAGCTTGGGACTCTGTCCTAGTCTAGTCTCCCATACTTAGCAGATGAGAGGTAGAAGTTAAAGCTGGTCAGTGACTCATCCAAGGTCACAAAGACAATGGAAGAGATCAGGCAAGAAGTCTCATCAGTGATATGGCTCCCTTTATAAGACTCACTTGAACAAATGAACAGCAGCTGCCCTCCTCTGCGCAGATCCTAAGCCACCTGTGCCCTTAGAACCTGAGAAAGTAATATAGTTCCTCCAAAGGTGAGCAAGATGGTGTTCTGGATAAATGTTAATACCTGGCTTTGGTCCCAGACTCTGAAGGTGAACCACCCGAAGATGATAGCCTGGCGCTGGAGCCGGAGGATTGAGAAGCTCTACCACAGCCTGAACCCAGGCACCCTCTGCCTCATCCTGCTGCCAGGAACCAAGAAGTAAGGACTTTGATGGGTTGTCCTTGTGACTCTGGCCCTTGGATTTCAGCTGTTCTTGAGGAAAGATCTTTTGTTAATGTCTAGGCACATAATGAGGCTATAACATGAGTTAGTCTTATAGTCATAAGAGATTGAAATTACATTCCCATTTACTCTTACATATATTGGTCCTTCTATGATATAGTTCATCCAAGTTTAAAATCGGAAGTTTTAGGGCCTGTAACTTCTTTGGGGTAAGAAGTAACATGAGGAGAAAAGGTAAGATGTCCTAGCACAAGGCCTAGCAGCTGAATCAGGACCCCCTACCCCCTCCCCCAAAAAATGAGGAGTTCTAGACTTCCTTGCCCATCTCTGTTTACTTGTTTCTAGTTGTAAACCTCAGGAAGACTGGAGCAGGCTGGAGTCTAGTTCTAGCTCCTGTTACATATTTGTCACAAGTGGCCAAGCCACTTTCCCATTACAGATTGCAGTTTATCTTCTAAACAGGTCATGGTGGTGCATGCTTGTTATCCCAGCACTTAAGAACAGGGGCAAGATTATGAGTTCAAGACCAGCCTTGGGATACATTGTGAATATATGTTTCAAACGAAAATTCTCTTTTGAGGGATTTGGAATATGTCAGTGCTTTTCAAGCCTATAACACTTTTCAGTATAGACATTTTATTTAAAGGAGATCAATGTTAAATCCTAAAGCATAATGAATAATTAGTGTGTAGTGTGTGTAGAAAGGGGAAAGATGAGGTGTCTTTTTGGAACACTTAGAAAAACATTGAACTGTTACTTATTTTTAATAGTTCATATTTGTTCGTCTTTTGTGTGTGTATGGGTGCTTTCATGAACTCAGATTATCAGCCTTGTCAGTGAATATCTTTATCCACTGAGCCATCTTGCCAGTTGTGTTATTTCTTAAAACTGTCTTAAGAGCTGGGCTGGTGGCCTATGCCTGTAATCCCAGCATTTGGAAAGTAGAGATGGAAAAATCAGGAGTTCAGGGTCAACTTCAGCTACATAAGGAATTTAAAGCCAGCCTGGGTAGTATGCGATCTTATCAAAAAAGAAAAGTCTTAAGATTATGATATCCTAAGAAATGGTGTACTTCACATGGTACTTTGGAGTCCCATAAGCCCCAAAGCTGGGCAGCTTAAAAGAACAGATTTCTCAGAGAAGCAGAAGCAAGGATTAAGTGTTTATACTAGAGGAAAAAGAATACTCAATCAGTATAACTCAAACATTTTTGTGGGTATGCTAACAATAAAAGGTTATAAATTGACCAAAGTTGCTAATAATAGCTTTGTGTTAAAGAGCAGACTCGGGTGGGGGTGGGGGTGGGGGGCAGATGATAGATTTCCCTTAGGATCAGTAGACATGGAGGCAGGGGTTGTAAATTTTATGCTTTCAGTTAGGACACTTACATTGTGTCCCCATTTTGGGGAGTAAACTAAGAATTATCCAAAGCATTCTCTTTCCAGACAAACAGGAAAGAAACTCTTAACTTCTTCAAGTTTCATTCTGATTTCTTAGCCTTTAACAGCTATGCCATCTCTCCAGCCCATGCACTCTGATTTCTGTAAGCATACTGATCAGCATGTTTTCCCCAAGCTCTAAGCTTGCTGTGACTGGCTTCTCTAGACCTCCTCTGGGTAGCCGTCTCCACGATGCCACTCTGAGAAACCAAGTGCTCAAGAATAAAACAGAAAAGACAACGGAAAAGTTCCCCAGGCTGCGGCTTTGACTCAGCTCTTTTGTTGTTGTTTTGATTTTTGAGATGGTCTCACTATGTAGACCAGGCTGGCCTGGAACTCACTATGTAGACCAGGCTGGCCTGAAACTCACAGAGATCTGCCTGCTTGTCTCCCAAGTGCTGGGATTAAAGGTGTGCACCTCCATGTCTGGCTCTGATTCAACCTTTATTCTTACATTTCAAAGCTGTTAAAACTGAGAGGAATATTGAAGATACTAAAATCTGTCAAACCCTTAATAAGCAAGTAGTAGGCTATAGATTTTTGGCTAGGGCTATTAGAATTTCAGTTAACCATAAAAGTTGAAAAAGAGCCTCAGCTTAAAACAGTTTACCAAGGTCATACAACTAGTAAGTACATGAATTGTGTACTTCTGAACCAGAACTATCATGTACCTTCTGAATCCAGAACTACTCTCTTGCCCTCAGAGCTCGTCTCCTCTAGGAGCAAAAGGCAAGTACTTTACATGGAGAAACTGTCTTTCCTCATTTCTGCCTGCTTTGCATCAGAAATCTTAGCCATCTAACCCAGTTCATATTCATTACAGGGAACTAACGGGTATTGGATAACTCCTAAATTTTAAGCACTGTTCTAACAACATGAGTTGTTTTTAAACAAGTTAATATTATAAAGTTTTTCAAATGGTGCTTGGCACCTAGGAGGTACTAACAATTCTAGGTTAAATGAAAAGACTAACAGCAATTTCTAAGGACTGTAATTATTGAATCCTGGTTCTGTCACTTAACATCGTATGACTTATGTTTATGAGCCTGTTTGTTTGAAAAATGGAACTAATGATTGTACTTATATCACAGAGTTGCTTTTGAGGATTAAATTAAATGTGTTTAAAACTGCCCATATTTGTAGGTAAAAAGTACTCAATGAAGGCTGGTTCTTATTTGTAGCTCTCAAAAAGCCCTGTGAGATAGTAATTTAAACATTTTAGAATTTTATAGTTGAAAAAAAATGAAGCTTGGTTGAAATATGCCTTATATTTCTTAAACAACAAAGCTAGAATTTGGCTAGGCTTCTTTTTAAAAATATTTTTTATATGTATGAGTGTATTACCTGCATGTATGTAAGTGCACCATGTGCATGCAATGCCCAGAGGCCAGAAGAGGGTGTTGGATCCCCTGGAACTGGAGTTACAGATGATTGTTAGCTGCCATGTGGGTGTTGGCAATCAAACCCGGGTCCTCTAGAAGAACAGCAAGTGCTCTTAACCACTGAGCCACTGCTCCAGCCCCTTTATTAAACTACCTTCAGGCAGCTTTCCATGTACCTGCCTGCCTCTTGGCCTGTGGTACACACTAACTTGAAAACATGCTTCTTCTATTCCAGGAGTATATTACTACTTTGAACCCTACAGATAAAAACCTACCTTCATTCTTTATTTACTGCAGTGCTTTTGGATCACACCCTGGCCTAGGACTGATGAAAATAAAAGATGAAGAAGAAAGTAACACCCCAAGCATGGGAATGTGACTCTACCCACCGCTTTCAAAGTGCCCTTTGTGGAGAAGGTGCTTAGACTACAGCCTTGGAGAGGTCAGGCCTCCCCATCCAGCAGACAGCTTTGGTAGAAAGTTGGTATACTAGCTAAAGTGTATTTGACATGTGTAAATTTTCAATAAATTCTTAAAATTCAAGCAGTTTACTTACATAGGTGCTAATCCCTACAGCACTACCAGTAAGTGGCATAAACTGAGAAGACCAAGAGAAGGGACTTCAGCAGAGAAACCCATCCAGTTTGTTTGTCAAAGCTGTACTATCATCAGAAGCAAATTTCTGTAGGATAAACTGTTGTCTTAGTGACAGCTGTTATAGAACTAAAGGGGAAAAGGCTTTACTGAGAATCCGGCAAGTACAGGAAAGAGGAGAGTGGGAGACTTAGCTTTTAAATCAGCCCTCAAGACCCATTTGCTGCTGGATGTGTTGGCATACGACTTTAATACCGGCACTCAAGAGGCAGAGGCGGATGGATTTCTATGAGTTCGTGGCCAGCCTGGTACACATAGCAAGTTCCAGGCTGGCTGGGGCTACAGGAAAACCCTGTCTCAAAAATCAAACCAAGAAACAAAAAACCTACTTCCAGCTAACTCCATGTTTGGGAATCCCTTGTTCCTTAAGATGCAGCTGCAGCACCACTCTTTACCAGAAGGTGTCTCCACCACACCAGCTCACCGCTTGAGAAGTGGAAACCGCAAACTAAGAAAAAAACAGTGCTTAGCTTTTTTAAGTGACTCTCACACTGTTAACAGTACTTAAGGGAGATGGAGGAACAGGCACACAATTCCAAATCTGATAGATACACATTAGTCCAGGCATAGAGATGCTGAGTATCTTATAGAACTATATTTCAAATAAAACATATTTATGTCTAGAGGGCTATAGAGTAGTATAGTTTTGAGTCCAGTTTTGATTTGGAACCGACCTGGAAGGCTATGTGCAAAAATGTTAACAGCATTTCTCTCTAGTTAGTACAACTGGCAAATCAGAGTTTTACAAGATGCTTTGTTGTTTGAAGCAGGATTGAAGGGGAGAAAAAGTCAGGTGTGGTGTTGTACACCTTTAATTCCAGAATTCAAGGCAGAGAAAGGCAGATTTCTGTGAGTTCAAGGCCACTTTGGTCTACAAGGTCTACATAGCAAGTTCCAGGCCAGCCAGGGCTACATGGTGAGACCCTGTCTCAAAACAAAAAACAAAAACAGCTCAGCATACATTGCTTTTACCACCATAAAAAAAAAAATTTGAAATTTAGAGTAATGTTTTAATCCATTAAATGTAGCTTTTTTTAAAGATCTGGCCCTAAGTGGAACCAAGCACCAAAGACACTGCTACCTGGACTCCCTCTGTCAGGAAGGAACTTCTGTACTGCCAGGGTGAGCTGTAAGGCCTTGAGATAGCATGCTTCCCTGCCAGCTGAGCTCTTAAAGCAGTGGAGGCCCAACTGATATTTACCTCTTGAGGTTCCTTGGTAATGGACAGGCCTGTTCCATTCAGCTCTGTTCCTGGGCATTTGGGGGCATTTTGAATGCATTTTCGCAGCTCCAAAAACTGAGGAAACACATACTTTTATGGATTGCTCTGAGAATTCAAAGATCTAGTTTGTAGAGAATGACAACAGTAGTAGATTGTGACCAGTTTTCCTTGTTAAGACTGTTTAAAATGGGGAAATTGGTACCTACTTCATAAGTTATGAAGATTCCATTAGGAAAAGTTCAGAGTAAGTGCTCAACTAGTCAACGCCATTTCCTTCTGGATAGATGAGAGTTTCTCCCTGGGCCCCATCTCCAGAACACTGTAGAAACGGACCTGACCCACAAAGCCTCTGAGACCTCAGTCTGTACATGCTGTTCTTCCAGCCGATGCTCCCACCTTTTGGAAACCAAAACTGCCAACTTGGCCTGTTGCAAAACACACATTCCATTCCTAAGTGCGTTTGTGCATTTTTCCTCCCACACCCTTCTAGGCAGCCAGTGCGGAGCTGCCAAGGCAGCTGCCAGAGAAGCAGTGTCTTTTAGGGGAAAACGGCAACTCCACAGGTTTTTTATAGGATTCTTGATTTAGGTTTTGAACATAATCCATTTTGGGCCCTCTGACCATATTGGGGGGTTATTCAGAATACTCAACCACATCTGCTATTTCCTTATCCCCTTTGAAAATAAACTATAAAATAGGAAAGCCATTAGAAGTTTGAAAAATTCAAGTCACAGCTAACCACCCAAAATTGATGACTGCCAATATTTTGTAAGCTTTTATCAGATTTTTCTGGCATTATTCAGTTGTTAAATAGCTACCTAATATGGTAATATTATTGATACTTCTCATAATTTCTAAAACACTATTTTGTTGACACAAGTTGCTCTCAGATGATACTGCTAATTATGTTTCTGTAAATACTTGGTATTTCTGTGAGGAAAAAATTACTGAAATTAGGGCTGCAGAGATGGCTCGGCGGTTAAGAACACTGACTGGCTCTTGCAGAAGATCCAGGTTTGAATCCCAGCACCCACATGGCAGCAAACAACTGTCCATAAATCCAGTTCCAGGGGATCCGATAGCCTCTTCTGTCCTCTGCAGGCATTGCACGACACCTATGGTACACTTACCTACATGCAGGCAATACATGCATACACATAAAATAAAAAATGATTTAAAAAGTTACTGAAATTATTGGATTAAGGCATATTAACAGTTGTTCTTTTAACCACAGAAGGATTTTACTCTTTGCCAGCACGGATTTATCTCAAATCTTTGTCAGTATGATAGGTTAAAAAAGTTTTTATATTTAGTTTACTTGAGAACCATTTAGATTGACACTCCAACTTTTTCAGTTTCTTTTTTGCCAGTAATTTGAGTTGGATGTATCCTTTGCCTATTTTTCTGTTGGGAAATCAACTACTTTTCCATATTAAAAAAAATTTTTACATTGATTTTGCCTGCGTCTGTGTGCGCTTGTGTCACAAAACTGGGTGGAGGTCTCCTTTACTGTGTGGATCGAGTGATTGAATTCAGGTCATCATCATCATCATACTTGGCAACACGTGCTTTTACCCACTGAGCCACCACACAGACCCTCCATAATGAATTGAGTTTTTGTTTGAGACAGGGCCTCACCATATAAGCCCTGTCTGGCCTGGAACTCACTGTCCATATCGATTTTAAGGGCTTATAAACAGTGCCCCTTTGTCAGTTGCAAAAATGCTTCTACTTGGCTCTTTAAAGTATGTAAATTTTGTAGTTTAGTCATTTCTGCTGTGATTTCTATTTGCCTTTATGTCTATAAAGTCCTGATTGATCTAGAGATCAATTTAAATATCCACTGCCAAGTTTTTATTTCTTATGATTTAATCTTTACTCTTCCTGGCACATACTTACTTTCCCCATGTATGTAGATAAATTTATCCAATTATCTACCTTTGCTTTTATAATTTGTAAGGCCATCCATGTACTAGAGCTGGTACCCATATTTTCTTCTGTGTTGCAATAGTACTCTGTTTTAACATGCTAGCAATTTTAGCAGCAGCATCCAAAAGACCACAGTGACCATGGATACCCCAATAACCATTATGGAGCTTTGCTGCTGGCTGTATTACTGATGCTGTGTTCTACTAGGACTTCTCAGTCCTGAGAAGACACTGGCTCAAGGCCAGAACATTACAAAGAATGATTCCACATAGGTGTTTTGTAGGTTTTTTAAGACAGGGCATCTTCAGTAGCCCATGTAGAAAGGAAATAAAGGTTAGGCGGGCTCCTGTCATCTTCACAATCGTAGCCTTTCAGTAGGAGTCAAACCCTAGAGCTACAGGGATGACTTTCAGTGCCAATTCGGCCATCTGCTTTGAAGATTTGATGGGAGAGGCTAGGAGAGATAGTGACTCCTCGATCCTTCTGGGCCACTGTTGGCACTTGCTTGGTAGAAGTGAGTTTATTCCACATGCAGATAAGCTCATTTGGTAATTCTATGAAAATTACTTGCCAATCATTTCATTAAAAATAGTACTTTTATCTGCTTATAATCCATACAGCAGTGTGTAATCATTCTGAATAACTCCAGGCCCTGTACACACATCCAAGTCTGTTACTTTCTATTTTGTTATTACCAAATCTGTTAAGTCCCTGGATGTACTTGGTCTGAGGACAAAACACGAAAAGAGAAACAAGACAGTGAGTGGGAGGGGTGTAGAGGTGGGGTATTAGCTACATGTTTTCTGAAGGTATGCTCTAAGAGAAAACACACAAACCTTGTACCATTTCCTTAAACTCTTCTCCAGGTGTTGACCTTGACCTTAAAAGAAAAAATTCCAGTTCACAGGAAACTGTAGAAACCTCTCCCTAATTAGGGAGTGTAGCCAAGGTTACTAAACCCTTTGCAACTGAAAAGAAAAAGCCTATCTAACCACCACAATTGCATTTACTGGTCTTTAAGAGATACCTAGAGGCTGGGGATCTCTGGGGAACCACTAGTAGTACTTCCATCTGAGAAAGGAGCAAGATGGCTCAGTCAGTACCATTCCTGAACACAGACAATAAACAGAAGATACCAGGAAGGAAGCTAAGGTTCTTAACTGGTCTCCAATACCAAGACTTCTAAAGCAAAGGGAGGCCTCAAGGTTCATGTCCGTTTACCACCCCCCCTTCGGCAGAATGGAAGTTGAACACCTTATAGTGGACAAGGAGCAGTGAAAGATCAAATGTAGCCATGACATACATGCAGGCAAAACACTCATACACATAAAATAAAAATAATAATAAATTTTTTTTGGTCTTTTTTGAGACAGGGTCTCCCTGTAGCCCAGGTGTCCTGGAACTCACTATGTAGACCAGGCTGGCCTTGAACTCACAGAGATCTGCCTGCCTCTGCCTCCCCAGTGCTGGGATTAAAGGCGTGCGCCACCACGCCTGGCCTCCTAATATTTTTTTTGGAGAAACTTGAGAGCATCTGGTTGAGCACTTTGAGGTATCATGGGTGTTTCAAATACTTTTTCTTAATCTTCATTTTACAAATGAAAAGGAAAACTTATAAGTTCACTAACTTGCCAAAGGCCACAGAGCAATGACACTTGACAGTTAAAGCCAGATCAGTTTGTCACCTGTCTTAATCACTACAAAATGGATAGACCTGTTAGGGCCGTGCATTCAACACAAGGCTCAAATTTACTTTTAATTTCTCATGGGAATTCAGTTATTTAAGGTAAAAAAGACTTTTCCAGTAGAGGACCTATATGCATTCATTCGATGTTTCCTGCAAGTACTGGAACCACAAAGAGCCCATCAAGGTTGCTTGCATGGGAGGGAGGCCAACAAGCAGTGTTTAGAGCAGGGATTGTCCTACATTGATTATTTTCCCAAGCTATTACCCAATTTCATGTTGGAAGAGGTTCCCAGTGGATAAAATTTGTCTAAGAATAAATAAAGGGGTTTTTTGGTTTTGTTTTCTGCAGAAATACCAAGTCAGGTAAACAAATTTATTGAATCCAACAGCAGATAACCTTCAAATTAAGAACAAAAAACAAACTGTAGACATCAAAGACAAAAATGTGTAACACGTTAATCAAGGGGCTATTTGGAGAGTGCAACAGTGCAGAGAATACAAAAGTATTGACTTTCGTCATGTTTGTACAACCTCAAGAAACATAAGCTAGTCACCAACCAAGAAGGATCCACAAAGGTGGAGCGTCACATGACCAATGGACTAATCACCTCAGCAGCTTAAGACAGGATGTATGTTGAACCAATTAATCCAAGCCCCGTTTGCCTGTTGCTTCACATTCCCTCTTTGAAACCTAAAACCTTACTTATTCATTAGTGCAGCAGGGAAGATCATAGATTCTGAGGATTGGGGACAAGGATTAGAGGAAGGATACTTCTTCCACAACAAAAACATGTGTGCTGGGGAAAAACAGCAGCTGCTTCATGACTTCTTTTGGTGATGCTTAAGATGTATGGTTGAAGTAGCTGTCTATGAGAGCAGACTGGGTTTCCAAGAAGTAACATGATGCTCCAATACCTGAATCAGAGCTTGGTCACTTCAGAGCTAATCAAATCACCTGAGCTTCTGCAACTAGCGCCTAAGCATCATCTTTCAAAAAGGTGGGTGAGGGGCTGGAGAGATTGCTCAGTGGTTAAGAGCACTGGCTGCTCTTGCAGAGGACACACCTGGTGGCTAACTACCAGCCATAACTCTAGTTCCAAGGGGATATGATGCTCTCTTTTGGCCTCTGTTGGCATTGCATGACACAGGTACATGTACATACATAGAGGCAAAACATAACTTTTTAAAACTATTTTTAAAAGAAGGGGGAAAGATGGGTGTGGTGGCACACACCTTTAATCCCACGCTCAGGAGGCAGCAGAATCAGGTGGTCTTTATGAAACTGAGGCCAGCCTGGTCTACACAGCAAGTTCTAGGCCAGCTGTCTCAAAAAATAAAAAGGGGGGGGGTACTTTGTGTCCCTCACTAGCATGTAGTTCTGGACCAGGTCAAAGTGGGTATGGGCTGCAATTACGGCTTACCATAGGAATGAACTTTGAAGGAGAGTAGTAAGAACCCTCTATGAAATTCAGGAACGAGATTGTGAGGATGAGGATTGATGTCACATGTCTTCAAATAAATCCTAATCAACACATTTTGGTAACTTTGTCCTTTCAACCATTTAAACAAAATACTGCTTGGGTCCTCCAAGGAAGACCTTTGTCAGTTACCAAGATGTTCAAGTCATCACTAGCTATACATAACATACACAACAAAAAAATAAAAATTAAAAAAATACCAAAAAAAAGAAGGCCACCAAACCTTAGCAGTAGCTTTCTTCCAGCCCTGATGTAACTAGGCCTACCTGCTGCACTTGAAAAAAAAAGAACCATACAGTCCAAAATATACATCTTCTGCTTTGTAAATTTGGACAAGTCTGTATCTCAGCAACTTCCTACCCATGTTTAGTGCAAGTACACTGTCCCACATCCTGTAGCCCTGTTGAGGCCCAGAGACCACGTCCCTGGGAGATGGTCCTATTTCAAACTAATACTGTGTGCACCTTCATCCTTTGTTAGGAGGTCCCTTTGGGACCATCCAATAGTATGGAAAATACTGCCGTGTACATTTTCTATTGTATTTCACTTGGCCAGGGAAAATTTAGATTTTTCAGCCAGCTTTGGAAAATTTTCTTCCTTCCCTCATCACATGGATACAGACAGACATCTGGACCAACACACATTGGCACAAATGCCATGATCAGAAGAGAGCTGCTGAGGCAATACTAGAAGGTACAGCGAAGTGTCATTAAGAATGATACATTCAAATTTGGCAAGGCTGGGGGAAAGAATGCAATAAACCTTCCATACCAGCCTGCTAATAAATTACTAAAGAAATACCACCAAGATTCACAAAGTCGTTTCACAAAACCAACAGTTTTCCAACAAATTGTTTCTGTAGTCAGCCTTAGATGTTGTAAAACTTCCAAATGGCACCCACACACCTGCATCTCCCTGTATCACCTAGTGTCCCAAAGCTGGCTTACCTGAGTGGCAAACATTTGGCCTCCAGTCACTGCTCATCCACCCAACAAGCAGCAAGCCTGCTTCTAGGTTTAGTGAAACAGAGGCTTTTTGTTTCCCAGAAGTGTTAACTACAAACTTTACACACATCTCCCTGGGAATCTCTTTGCAAAAAAAAAAGCAAAAAGCAAGAAACAAGAATAAAGCACTGGCCCAGAGATACACAGAAGAGGTCCTAAATTCTTTGCTGGGCTTCTCAACAATGTATTAAAAAATAAAACCACAAATAATTTCTAAATGGCTCTTGCGGGGATGTGGGTGTGGGTGGAGCTCAGTAATAATTCAAATCTACCCACTACAGTGAACCTAAAAGTAGAATGTGGCAGCTTCTGCCTCTTGGCACCTCTCTGCCATAATACCCTTCTGATGTGGGGCAGAAGCCCTTACCTGGCTGGGAACATGCTGCCTTTTCTCTCACTCAGCCTCTACCTAATCCAGATTGAGGAACAAGTGGGAGTTACAAGCTGTCTGAAGCAAAGGCAGGGCATCTGGATGTCCCAACGACAGCTGCTGGGGCCACTGGATACTCATGAAAGGACTGTCTTACTCAAGCTAGAAGAAAGTGAGACATCTGGCCTGACAGCCTCTTCGGTGTCCCGGCACTACTGTTAGCCTGTGGCCAATTTTCAGCTTTCTCATCTGTTCTACAAGGGGTAACTGCCAGGTTTAAAAATCGAAATGTTCCCTATGTCAATACCAATTTTAGGAAATATGACTGCTCCTTAAATAACCATCTTTGTAAAGATGGAAGCCTAGAGCTTTAAGGCTATGAATAAGGAACTCAAAACATGCAATTTTTACCCAGGCTGAGAAACATGTACCTGGGGTTGGGGTAGAGGTTAATTAAGGGAGAAAATTCCAAATATTTAACAGACAAATTTTCATTAGCTCAAGAATATAAATATTTTTATAAGTTTTTATTAAAAGATTCCCTTTTTTTTTTTTTTTCTGTTCCAAAGTGTTGGAAGCTGAACTGTACAAGCTCCTGCCACCCACCTTTCCAGTACAGGTTTTTTGAGGATATTTTTTAAATGGAAAAATATCAAGAGGATCCTCTACTGAAACCAAGTAGGACAGAGTCAGCTTCTCAGGCCCCAGTGGCAGTCTGGCCAAAGCTGGCCTTGTGGAGTGAGTGCGTAGAGTCTAGAGAACTGGGTCCTCGCAAGTTCATGTTCTCTTTAGTGAAAACGGCCCAAATTCAAATACAACAACCTCCCTTGTGATGCTCTCTGGCACTCTTCTGCAACTACAGGTTGAAGGCAACTCCCTCTTACGGCCAGTTTTAGCAGGCAAAGAAACAAAGGAATATAGATACATATATGTGTATATATATATATTTTATATAGGTAAAATATATACATATCTTATATATGTATATATACACATTTGGGGGCAAGGGAAGGAGAAGAGGGTCATGTAAACCTAAACAGTCATCACATTACCCCAAATGAGCTTGACATTAACAAAAAGATAATAAATAACTCCTGGGGGTTAAGTGACAACATGGGTGCAGCAAAAAGGGAAAGGGCACACATTTAATGATTTAAATACACTTTGATAATTTGTTCGGCAGAGTTCAGGCCAGCCTCAGGCTTCTGCACTTGCCAGACAAGTAAGCTGATGATATTTAAACAACAACAAAAAAAAAAAATTAAAAAAAAAAAATTTCAAGCAGAGCTCCATACCACAGTTTTCTTTTTAAGTCAGTCGGCCAGTAGGCACACTTTTCTGACCTCCCAGAACGGAAACTTTGGCTCCAAGGCAAACAATGAAAAGAAAAAAAAGTACTTCCATTTACAACATGAAAATACAGAAACTTCATGAAAGAAAACTATCAACGAAGTCTACTTCCAGCACAACTGAGGTAGCACTGCTTTCTCTGCATTCAATGCTTAAGTGGTTTTCAGTATAATGTGTTCTAACAAAACAAACTGCTCACTTGACTGACAGGTACAGCATGTTGATGGATAAATTAAACATGAAATGCAATAGTCAAAGAAGGAATGAGCAAGAAGTGAGGGAAATCAGGGTTTTGGATAACTTAGCTTAAATGGGGGTTATCACCAGACTGCAAATGCTCTTGACTGGCCTTGGCTCTCCAAGAGCTCTAAATTGTCTGGAAATTAATGCAATGTGGTTAACAGTTAACATTGCTATTCAGATCTGTGTAAATCTTTAAAAATAATTATTACAACCTAAATTCAACCATGTAAACAGCACTACACACAGTACAGACCTGCCCTGAAAAACAATATGCAAAACTGAGATCTGGCACTGTATCATTTTGTAATGTTAATTCAACCTAACAGTCCCACTCCCCCCACCCAGGCCTACACCCTCCCCCACAAAAACAAAACAAATCTAATTTGTGCAAGAAATGGCAGGCTTATTCTATCTGAATGCTTCAAAAACAGATACACAACATGTAGCCAGGTTCAAATATTTTGGGGGATGCACCCCCCCCAAAAGAAATAACCAAAAATAACCAAAAAATGAAGAAAGTGCCTAAAACATGATACAGCATTTTAGAGCCCTTTCAAATACAAGGCAGAGAAAGGTGTAAAGTAGAAAATATCCGGATCTTCAATAATTTCCAGAAAGGTTCAATTCCTAGCTAGGCTGCAGGGCAGCAGGAGATCTTGCTGCTGCTCCTGGAACAGAGCCACTAAGTCTGCTCCTCGGGACACAAGCCCTCGGGCCCTGAGCTGAGTGCACCTCTCCTTTCTGCTTCTCTTTTCCTTCGCTCCATTTCCCACTCCACAAAGGTGTCAAAGAGACTCGGCCAGGCCTCATCTTCACTGTAGTTGCTGAGGTCGGGGCCAATCACCTGAGTGAAGTTAAGGAACATGTTCCAAGTGTCCCGGGAGATACCCTTGACCCCCGAGGGGTTCTCTGTTAAGAAATTTAGCCATTGGTCCAATACAGGAGGATTGTTTTGGGTAAAGACAAGTTTCCACAGGGCAATGGCTATTTCCCGATGCAGTGACCGCTGCCCTTCTTCAGAGTCCAGGCCAAACTGAAATGTAAACCGGTAGAGATCCTTGAATTTATCCTCTTGTTTGGCTTCTGTTAAGAGGCTAGGGAACCGTGCACAGATCCCATCAATGCTGTCTGCACTGATTGCTTTACAGCCATCAAAAAACTCCTTCCTGCAACAGGAAGAAAAGGGCACAATCATTGTAAATGACATCACATGTTATGAAACGATATACCAGAATGATTAAGAATGTGGCTTTGAGGGCTGGAATATAGCTCAGTGGTACAAGCACTTGCCTTGCTTTAGTGAGGCTATATATTCAATTAACTGAAAAGACTATGGTTTCTAACTATACCCAACATATGGTAGGTGGTTCATAACGGTTCATTCGTGCATTTACGCATCTTCCCAAATCAAGTTGCCTACTCCCTGGCCTGCTGTTCCTCACTCTGCAAAAGTGACTAGTCTACAAGCTTTTCTACCTCCAGCACAGAAGGCTTCCTGCTTCCCTTTTGATTTTCTATAGGATGTTTGGAAGCTTGTGAAAGTAAAGATTCTGGATAGCTGTGTTATTAAAAACAAGCTATGGGGGCTATTGAGCCCAAGTTCAATCCCTGGAACCCACAGGGAGAGAGCCAACTCCTCCAAGTTGTCCTCTGACCGCCACATGCATAGTATGGCACATATGCACTCATATATATGCATACACATACACACACACACACAGACAAACATTTTTTTTAAATTGTATTTTCATTTTTTTGAGATAGGGTCTTGCAGGCTGGAGTTACAGACATGTTGCCACCACTCCCAGCCACATATTTTTTAACATGTATAAAGCACTTTTCAGTTTATGACAGGGTTTCATACTGACCATCTCAAGGATTGCTCTAGTTGCTGAAGAGGCAAGGGATCTGGCCTACCTAGGACATCATATAAATTAGCTGAATTTTAAAGTCAGTTCTTACTCATAACCCTCTGCTCTGCAAACCATGGCCTGCTGTGACCTTGCCATGTCCTTATATACACAAGCAACCTCAATATGGATACATGACCACGACAATTTGTCCAACTGCTGCTTGGTAACTGGAACCAGCTGTCCTTGCTGCACACAAGCCTGACTGAAGGCAACAGCCAAGAGAGGCAATTGGCTTCACAGAGTGGTTAGTAGAGGTACATCCCCAGCGGCACTCACTCTACATACACTTATGTGCCTGGCAGATGACAGATAAGTATTGAATGAGTCAATCTGAGTGTAAAGGCATGGAGACAAGTTCTGAGCCATCAGTGGGGCTGAGCAGCAGCCTAACAGTGATCACACTGCTTAGTACTCATTTAACTCCAGCAAAGAAGGTCAATGCTCTGTTACTCAGGATGCCTCTTAATGTGATATGCTTCAAATGTGACCTATGAATCCAGCAAAAGCTTTACTGTATGAGATAAAAACAGGAGTGTACACACAGAAACAGGAAGCTTTATGTACATTCAAATTTCTGAGTCTTACCTATCAAGATCCTACTCAATAGCTCTATAGTACTGGTGTATGGTAAACTATTTAATCCCTTTGGAAAGTCTAGGGGGATTCTCTGGGAAAAGACGCAGAATTCAGGTTAGTACATTTAAATTTTAGAGAAAATGGCTAGAAAAAGGAAGGGGATCACTTGCACCCAAGCTCTATGCCCCCAAGTTCTAGCCTAGCTGGTTCTACTGCCAATGGTAATTTCTTTCCTCCTCTGCTCACCTGCAGACATGGAAGAATTTGTGACTAACCTGGTGAATTTGCACATGGTAGCAGCCTGGAACTTCCAAGCCAAGAGCAGCACTCGAAATTCTGTGGGATCAACACATAGATCATTGCAAAAGCGCTCCATGCCTTCCTCCAAAATTGCATCCTCCCGCTCATCCTTGTAGCGCCTGAATAGTTCTTCCAACCTCTGCAAGGAAGACTCCTCAGCATTGGATTTAGACTCTCTCCCAGCATCTCCAGATGATGTTGGCAGCTGGCAGGACTCAGTGGCAGCCTCCGCCTTCTTGGTCCCATTGACAAGGATATCCCCAGCTGGCTTGCCACAAGGTGGCACCTGTTCCTCACGGTGGCTGGCTCCTCGCCTGCTATGTGATTTGCTGCTGGGGTCCCGGTCTCCATTCTTGCTGCCCAGGGTTGATGAAGGATTCTTACACTTGGTGACACACTGGCCCATGGTGGTGGTGGCCTAGCCTCTAAAGTGGCCCCCTCTGGATCAGATGCCCTCGCTGCCACTGGCCCATGTACTTCAACATGCCATCAGTTAGAGGAGCCAGCCAACCTAGAAGGAAATTACACAGTTGTCACCTCTAGGCAGGAGTGGGGTATACACACTACTCCAATACAGTCCCACCAGTGGCAACCATTATTTCACTGAGCTGACAATGAGCAAGGAGATACTCCCAGTTCACCATTTCTTCCCTGGTAAGCCAGCTCCATAGCCAGGGAACATATGGAGAACCAATATGGGAAATTCCTAGAATTTTTAAGGTAGCACAGGTTACAAGGGGCTGATTTATTTGCAGAATGCTTCAAAGACTACAGTTCTAACAGGAATGTTCCAGAGGAAATATATCTTGCCAACTTTGCCTTCACCTAAGGAAGGTATTTGGACCTGGGCTAAGCCAGAAGATATAAACATAAGGTTCATCTTCTAGTTCCTGATGCCTATACCTTCATATTTTAAGAAAGTTGTCATGGTGTGACTTTTTTCTCCCAGCATAATATGACCAACATCGTGGAGTAGAAATTGCCTTGGCTTGGTAGCCATAGCAACTAACTGAACAGAACAATACAGAGGTAGCTAAGTCTATGGTAACGGTAATGGATGGAGCTGGTGACACTCCCTAGGAGGAAGAGGTGGGGAGAGTCACTGGACCCACATCTGGGATTGCAGCCTTTACTCCTTCCTGCCCTCCCCTAGCTGCAAGTGATCTTGGGAGATGCTAGAATATATAAATGGAAGGTTAACTGAAAGTAGACTCCACTGTACCTTCCATGATGTTTTCATCCATGGAGGTGGGTGGATTCTGAAGTGCTGCAGCTGTTTTAGGGTCACCCCTCACCTGTGCTCTAGAAGTAAGCCTGATAGAAAACTCATTGGTTCTCCAAGCTGAATTTTGTTGGAATAGGGAGGAGTGGCCATATCCAAGCCACCTGTAATCTCATAATGGTCTAATGATAAGGTAAAGGATTACGACATCAAGACTACAAGCAGGGGCTTAGCCAAAGGCAAAGTTAAATTTGTGTGATCTCTCCAGATTCCTTCCTGGGCCTATGTCACACAATAGGTGTACTGTCCTACCTCCACCTCCACCCACCCATATGGAGCCTATGCCAAGCAGTTTCCCAATCTCAGGGTACGTCTCTAACTTCTTAAAAAATGGCTGACTTGCCCAAAATAACTTCTAAATGGTAGATAACTGCCAGATAAATAATAAATAAACCCAATGATGAGTTTGTTAAGTAACTAAGTTTTCACATAAAATGCTAGAAATTTGTGAGCAAAAAGGAAGCAACTTCTCTAATACTATCCATTCACTTAACCTTCAACTAGTTTTCTATAGTTTAAAAAAAAACCACAATTTAGTACTTGCAAAATTTTACCAACAGCTAAAATAATGGCAGCCACTAAAATCACGCTGTTAAAAGAAATGTGGACCAGGAGTCAGAAAGCAGACACCAGACAAAGATCAGTATCAATCCCATATGGGCCTTTCCACTTTAGGGAGCTTTTATGTGCCTTCATGATGCAGTTAGAGCTCTTAAGAGTCTGGCAAAGTTAAAGTCTGAAATTTTACCTAAAGAAAAAAAGAGAAGGAAGGAAAAAAAGCAACAACAGCAGCTTCCTCCAAACAGGGCCTGGATAAATGGGGAGTTATCTTCAAGAGGAATTCTCTCTGAGAGTAAGCGGTGAGTGTCCAAGTTTAAAACTAAGCCGGAATCATTCCTACAGTTACTACAGACGCCTATCAGGGTGTGTCCTAGTCTCTGCCCTTAAAGAGACAAAAAGACATGTCCACACATGCCCTCCAAAGAACTGTTTGAATTGGCTGCAAAAATGCAAACCCTTAAAAGGGCTTTGGCTGTGAAAATGACAGATTCAGGATGGTTTTTACAGGTCTGTTGTGCTTTGGTGTAACTAGTAAGCCATAAGCACAACCTATTCAAATTTCAAAAGGCAAGGGTTAATTCTTGGAAGACCATCATACAAGAGGAGCAACTGTTCAAGCAGAATTATCTCAAAACAAGAAGGACTATAGCATGTGGAGGGTCTGCTTTCCAGATTTGTGTTTCTAAAGACTCGAGTGCTGAAAGAAACAAAAGGCCCAAACTTACACAAACCCCACATGCTCACAGACTGGCAATTCTAATTCCCAGGCTAGCTGACTCACCAGGGTTTGCTGCTCAACTCCTGCAGCTGAGGGAGGCCCAGCACCCAGTGAGATAAGAGGATTTCCTGGCCTCCATCTGACTCACCTACCCAGGCCACTCACCCCACCCCCACTGGCCAGATGCTTCATTACAGCAGCTGCCTTCAAAGCCTGGCGCCTAGGCCTGCAGGTAAGGGCAGAACAGATGGAACTCCCAAAGAGGCCTAAATCCCATTTACCCCGCCAGACCTCCATGTATGAGCATCTTTTGATGACCTCACACAACGGAACCAGCTGAAACCTGAAGGCTTTTAACATGCCCAACAGAGAAAGAGAGGAAAATCAATGTGGACAGATACCAATCATAAGAAGGTCAGCTCTTTCTTCCATTCTGGTTCCTTTCTTTGAAAGGTCCCCATTCCAGTGGAGTGGAGTGGAGTGTTCTCAAGTCAGAAACTAGTATTTTCAGGTCTGTGGTAAGTAAAGTCCCTGACCACTGCTGCTCCAAGGGCTGCCTCTTTGATTCCTCAACTTCCCTGGGCTTTTTCCAGGCCCATTCACAGTGCCCAATTCCTGTGTTTGAGGCTGGAAGAACCTCAAGTTTTTAAAAGTCAAAGGCCTCACTGAGCTGTTAATAATAGCAGTCATCAATTATTGAACATCTGATCAGACGCCAAGCTCTATGCTAAGCGTTTTAGGGACATTAGCTCGAGTATCCTCCTCTCTACAACTCCATTTAAGACAGGGAAGCTGAGACTCAGAGTACAGTAATTTATCTAAGATCAGAACAAACAGCTTGGTGTATTTAGCTCAAAAAACTAGGACCTGTATGTACTACTGAGTCCACCTCCAGCAAAGCACCTTGGGAAAGCAAAACTAGAAATGGGAACTGAGTCAGGAGCAACTTTATTTAAAGCAACCCCAGAACAACAGCAAATCTTAACCATCAGCCACTAGATAGAGAATAGCACACTGTCTGCACCTAGTGGTCAAGGGTATCATCACTGCCTTCTCTGGGGCCAGGGCAGACCAGCCCTGCTGCCATCGTTCCAGAAAGTGTGACGTCCTTGGGCTCAGCCCCACCAGAGACAGGTACTAGAACTAGTCCATTCACCCTAAATTTGTGTTTCATCATGCCAGCATAGTAAAGCTCCAGCTATGAAACTGAAGTCCTACTCTAACTAGCTAAGTGTTTGACTCTAACGGAAACCTGAATTTCCCACATCTGCCACACACAGCTATCAAACACAATCAGTCAGGAAAAGCAGACAGGATACCTGACACATATAGCCAGCCCCATCCAACAGAGTTATTAACTCAAGTCCTGTTCAAAAACAATCTCACAAGCTGGAGAGATGGCTCAGGAGGTGAAGTTGCCTGTCCCAACTTGGAGGATCAAACTCTCCATAGGACAGGACTTCCATGTGATTGATCCTCAATAAAATCAAGCTGAGTATTTGCTGTGCCTGGTGAACAATTTAAATTGTTGGTCATGCCCTGTACCTAACCTAAAACAAGCTTTCAGCTAGTTCCAGACTCCTCTTTAAGTCTAGAGGTCTGCAAAATGCAGGATCTCTAGCTTTCTAGACAATTTCAGAGTTAATGGTAGCATCTCTCTAGGTGGTTCTCTAGCTCCCTCCCACCACCACCTGCTGAGAGCCTCAGCACAATCTGGGCACTCCAATGCCAAGTTTTCAAAATAATGGAATTATTCATAATGAGTATCACTTTCTACTTGCTAGCATATTATAACAGCTATATGTAAACACAGCTCTCTGAAATATTACAGGAAACTAAGTAGCGGCACACTGAGGTCAAGGAGCCTAAGAAGGGAGAAAACGGCACAATAATTAATAGGTTGAGCACAGACAAATCTGGGCTTGAATCACAATGATGGCATCGATTAACTGAATGTGTCAGCAGTTCATCCCACTGTACCTCAGAGGGCTGTAGAGCACAGAAAATGGGATAATCCACGTAAAACGCTCTGTGCAGTAGCTGGTGCATGGAAAGCATTCAGTGATGTGCCACCTCCATAATCATTCTTATTACTGCTATCACAAAGTCAGTGACAGACAAGCTTCCTTTACCCTAGGAAGTGCTCTTCACTCACTAGCCAGCCCAGATCTGTTATAGCAATTCAGGTGTGTCCTCACAGTAAGTGACTCTCTCCTGCTCTAGCTAAGTGGCACAGATGGAATAAATGAAGCCAAAAGAAGGAGACATGGGAGAAAGGCAGGAAAAAACGGGGGCTGCAGGCACTCACATACACACAAACTAGGGAAACCTATCCTGGGCCATTAGTGCTTTGGGTATTTACCAGATGGGAACTTTGCTCAGCTGATACTGGACTAAGATCAGTCTCTAGCTTTTCTCCTTCAGCCTCAGCTCCAGCTGCTTCTGCCTCCTCCCCTCCCTTCTCTGCACTTCATCCTCCAGAATCCCCTTTCTTTGTGCCAGCCCTAGCTGCTGTTCCTGAGGATACGCTTGGCTGCCTGCTCAGCCCCAGCCCCACGGCCTGGAACAGACACTGCTAGGCCCAAAGGGCAACCTCCAGAGGCTTGTGGTCCCTAAAGATACTCTAGCTCCATGGGGGGAAATTAGGAAGCTACACCTATCTTGTAGGCAGTTCCATGAGCTACCAATCAGACAGGGCTGTCTTCAAGGGTCCCACTCTCAACTGCTGAGAGAACTGCCTCTTGTGGAGCAGAACCACAGTAGAGGGCTAACACCACCCTGAGACTTGGTGCAAACGGAGGCAGGAAACCGGGAGAGAGAACTGCAAAGAAAGGTGAGGGGGACTGAGGAAGGTAACTGTGGGGCCTGGGGCCACTCATTTCATATACATCAGCACTTTCACAAAGTCTAAGCAGTAGACTGTAATCAATTTTATACATTAGGAAACTCC